GGAAGAAGTACACCGAAGATCCCTGAACTTATCATGGGGATAAAAAAAACGTCCTCAAACCGCAAAACCAGATATACGAGGTCCCTTAACTATATAAAATCGGTCACCGAAGATCCTTCGGTAGTTTTGACCCCGGTTTTGGTCTATGTGGCAGCTGAGTCAGCGTGGGACCCACGTGGGCCCCACATGTCAGCGTGCCACGTCAACTTCCCCTTTCACCTCTTTTCTTTCTCTGTTTCTCTGCTTCCTCCCTCCCTCTCTCTCTCTGCTCTCGCAGGGCATGGGGATGCCGGCGCTAGGGCGCCCAAGGCGGCGCGCGCGGCCGGGGTCGGCGGCGGCGATGGCGTTAGCAGCGGCGGGGAACGGGTTGTCATCGTCGTCATTGTCGTTGAGGAGGCTGAGGAGGTCATCGGCCGTAGAGATGAGAAGGGAGCGGGAGCAGCAACCGCAGTGCGAGGAGGTGGCGGGCGGGACGGCGGCGGAGCCGCATCCACCACTGGCGACACATCCACCGCCCCCGACAACCCCTCCTCCCAAATCGCCTATGGCCTCACGGTACGCAACACCAGGGCCGGCCCTGGCCCTATGCAGCCGAGGTGACCGCCGGGGGCCCATGATGGTGGGGGGCCCATGATAGTGGGGGGACCAACACCTAATACTAGTAGTCTAGTACCTGTCTATGGCCTACCTAGAAGCAAAAACGCCGAAACGAGAGGAGTTGGAGCGTCGTCACCTCGTCGCCCAATCTTAGACACTATTGATCTTAATACCGTTATTGATGATTTTGCATCAGAAATGCCCGAAGAAGTATCTTTTCATGAGAAGCAATGGATATGATTGGGTTCTTTTCTTCATTAAGATAATGATATTAGTTCCAAGGTATAAATATATTGTTGTTTTGGTTGACTTTATTTCTCGATAATTAACAGATATGTTAAATTTAATATATGGATATGTTTGTTTTCATTTTGCAAGTAAAATTAGCGTCTATATATATCATAAAATTTTATATATAGCTTATAGGGGCCATCGTGATGAGTTCGCATAGGGCCCACGAAATCATAAGACCGGCCCTGCGCAACACCACGGTGGAGTCGGAGAAGGCGATGGGTTCCCCGGCCGCGACGGAGCCGGAGAAGACGCCGCCTCCTCCTGCAACTGATGGCCCCAGCGGTGACCTTATGTCGGCGACGACGCGAACTAGGGGCGCCGCCTCTTCCTCGCGGACGTGGTGGAGCGACTAGACGCGGTGTGCGCTGAAGAGCTCGAGCACGCAGATCCTTCTGAGCAGAGATTGGGAAGGCTGGACTCTGCTCGAGGTTGCCAATGGCGTCACCGCCCGCCGACGCCCCCACCCAGCGATGAGCAGCTCAGTGAACGACGGGGCCTGAGCGGAGGAGGACCCGAGCACTAGTTGAACCTGGCTGACAGTATTGTCATGGGTAGATTAAAGAGGCCCAGTTGCACTTGCACGCGATGATTAGTCTCAGTTCTTCAAGTATCGGTTAATTTGTTCTTATCATCTGGCTCTGGCATGCTATTATCTTGCAAATGGAATGTTTGACACAGGTAGCTGGGAGCTAGAAATGCATGCAGTCACAAGGTCAGATTGATCGATGCAGATAACATGGGAAGTGTAGGCGAGATCGATTGCGAGTAACGAGCCGTGGGCGGCGCAGTTCATGGGCGCCATGGGGGAGCTTGCCTGCGGCATCGACACCATCAAGGTGGAGTCGGTGTGGCATCGCGTCCCCACCAATCTGGCGTCCTCGCAGATCCCGCCGTCCCCGCTAGTTCTGGCTGATGGTGGTGCTCTTCTTACCGTTTGCCTGCAAGTCAAGAGGCTCGAAGCGAGGATCCGCTAGGTGTGCGCGGCCGACGCGGCCGCCGGCCGCCGTCGCGGCGCCGCCACTCAGCCCCGCTCGCCGCCTGGGCGTCTGCTCCCTACCCTTGGCCCGGCCTGCGAGAGAGAGAGAGCAGAGAGGGAGGAAGGGAGAGAGAAGAGGAGAAAGGGAAAGTTGACGTGGCACGCTGACATGTGGGTACTACGCTGACTCAGCCGCCACATAGACTAAAACCGGAGTCAAAACCACCGAAGGACCTCGGGTGACCGGTTTTATGTAGTTAAGGGACCCCGCATATCTGGTTTTACTGTTCGAGAATGTTTTTTATCCTATGATAAGCTCAGGGACCTTCGGTGTACTTTTTCCCACACAAACATACTGTACGCTGCCAGCCTCGGCAGGGAGGCAGGGAACAGGGACGCGAAGCGCGAGCAAGCAGCTGGGGGACGCCAGAAACCGCAGCGCGCGGCCTTGTTTGCCCAATGTTGGAGGCCCCGTGGCGCCAACCGCTACGTCGCGTGGGCCGGCCCGGCCACCATTCGGCGGTCGGTGCGACGCGAGGCAGGCGGCCTCTCTCGCGCTGGCTCGTGTCGCGACCGGGGGTGGGGTGGGGTGGGTTGGGTTGGGTTGGGACTGGGGAGATGGGCCGAATCGGGCGGGCAGTTTTCCGGTGCAATTTCACGCGGAAACGAGCGTAATCAGCGTGCGTGCCGCGTCGCGCACGACTACGGCCCCGCCGCATCTGGACCGTACACGACGCGACCAGAGCTACCCTAAGATCTTTTTCGCCTTGGATCATTTGCTCTCTCTGGTCTAAACCGACACCAGCACAGCATCTATAATGACAGGTACTGATGAGACCCCATCATGCATGCCACGTACGATGAATAAGCTAGCTTTTGGAACAGAGAAGGAATAAGCATGGTACTAGCTAGCACCATACGGCCATGTGCCCTGTTGTCTTGCTTGTTAGCTGAAACCGAGTTTAGCAAATTACTTCCCGTCGAGGCAAACCAAGCGATCCTATATGCGTCTATCTCTCCCACTCCCAGTATTTGTTCATGGCGTAAAGGCCACCCCCGCGACTACGACCTAACAACCCACGCCGAATCACCGGTTGCATGTGAGCCACTGATGTGCTCCGTCCACGACTTGATACTCCCTCCGTCCCAAAATAAATGCAGTTTTACACTATTTACGTTCAAACGTTCGACCGTTCGTCTTATTTGAATATTTTTTATGACTAGTATTTTTATTGCTATTATATGATAAAACATAAATAGTACTTTATGTGTGACTAAATATTTTCAATTTTTTCACAAATTTTTCAAATAAGATGGACGAGTCAAACGTTGGGCACGGATATCCACGGCTACACTTATTTTGGGACGGAGGTAGTATATCTTATATTACATCACACCTTTCTTCTCCACATCGCATCGCAACCCTGCATCAATTAATAATTTATATGTGCTCCCTAGTCCCAACACGATTCCTTCTAGAACCTCTAGCTATAGAGGTTTCACTAATGCCATTTGCAACACATTCCTTTTCGCATGTGCGACACGCTCTTTGCTTCAGGTTTTACTTGAAGTATGAGCGCCATTGGGATCCGGTGAAATTTCCCTTTCCTTCTCCACTGCCGTATTCATTATGTTGCATGTAAATATATTCCTGAAAGGTATGGATCAAAAACATCAAATCTAGCTAACTTCAAAGAAAATTCAGCGGCTGGCAGCCTGGCAGCGACGTTTCAGTTGTTCATGATACGCGTGCAAGATGCGGCTTACACACTGCATGATCAGTTCAGGTCCCGGATTCCTCTCCAGCTACATGGGAGAGCAAGCATTGCTCGGAACAATTCAACCGTGTGGTCACCCTCTCTATCTCTCTCTATCTCCCTGCATTATTGTCCAAGATATGGTACATAATTCAGATCTTGCCAATTTGGCAGGTGACAAAGCAAGGTCTCTTGCAATGGGAGTTGGAGGTGGGTAAGTAAGGTTAAAATGACAGCAAAGAACTGTGACCACAATGACCAAGTACATACTACCACCCAAGTAACCCGGTTGGTACGCTGCTCATCGTGACTCCCAAAGTCTCCGGGCCACAGGCCATGTGGAGATGCATCGCACACGCACAGCTTCCACCAATCAAGCCATTCTCACCAGCCACGGCAGAGAAGAGAACTCCACTGTTTCAGAGCTCTGAATTTCTTATAAGCTTTCAGCAAAAAAAAAGAAAGAACGGGGGAGAAACGCACCGTTTTCGCTGGAATTCTGTGGGTTTGCAGCGCGCGATGTGTCCGTTTCCACCGCCAAATGCGGCCAAACCGCCGTACGGTTCCATGTGCCACACATGCGATGAAAATTCGCACATTTTGATACGGGATCTGAGCCTTTGCTATCGCTCGCTTGTGCCTTTCATTTCGTTGCAGCCTGAGTAGACCGGTTTTATTTCGGTCACATGTGAGCATGAGGTTGCAGTTCTCTCTCAGTGTTCTTGTGACTCTCAGTTATCAGGGCCCTCGCTTATCAGTGATAGTTACTACTCCTCAGATCTTTTTCCCTGCTCTGTTGAATGAGCCTGAGCCACTGGAAGAGTGACAGGGGTAGGGCCTCGATTTGATTTGATTCCCCTTGCCAAAAGAAGCTCGTTGATGAACCAGTAATTTAACTGTTTTAAGTGTAACTAAAGCATAATCAGATGGTTGGAGCTTTCCTTCTAATGCTAAGGTTAGAGATTCTCTGAAAATTCACATGAAAGATTCCGTGACCACCCCGCACAAAGCTCCACATGGATTCAGATTCCCCTGTCGGCTCTTGATTGAGGACAGATGCCCCCCCCAAAAGAAAAGGAGCCTGTAAAAATATTGTCTTCCCCGGTTATCATGTCAGTATCAGATTTTAAAATCAGTCGTAGATGCCCAGATCATTTTCTAATATTAGCAAAAGAATTAGTACTATATATCATATCACTAAGCAGAGACTCGTGCAGCTCGTGTGCGTTAAGTACCCAAGTAGTGCATTTCTTGTGGAGGTAATCAACTATATTTAACAGTTGGAATCCACATGTTTTAGTGGTTTACAAAGTCTCAAACTTGATAATACAAAATTTACAAAATACCAGAGCTCACCTTGTAAGCAGAGTAGTAGATCAACAAGTACACAACATTAGGTGTGTAAATTACATTGTCTTCTGTACAAAATTCAGTGTATTACAGTTAGTAACAGTGACAAATTCAGGTGCTCCAAGATCAGATGAATCCCAAGGTCTAATCTTTAGATCAACAGAACACTGCATAGTGTGGTGGGATGAATACAGAGGAAGATCTAGGACCAAATGGGGATTAAGGAATACTCACTATCAATCAAGATCTAGCACACCAAAATTACATCAATCCTGTGCCATCTTACACTTTCCTTCAGCTAGAAGGCATCAATACCAGGATTAAAAACCTATGCACATACCTAAGCCAGCAGCAGAAATGGTAAAGATTTCTTATTGCATCTGTACAAAAATCGCATAGCAGGCAGCAGCAGCAGCATCAGCAGCAAGCAAGCAAAGTATAGCATCTGTAGCTCACTGAAGTGAGTGCTGGAATGGAGAGCTCTAATCCAACTGATCAGTGATCCAAATCTTGCAAGACTAGCTGATTTGATGTGGATCCGCAGCTGTGTGTTCGATCGATGGCCGCCTCATTGCAGGTCGTAGACGTTGGAATCGGCGGCGTAGCAGCCAAGAACGCGGACGAACACCGCGAATCTCTCGATCTCCTTGATGGCGTCGAGGACGCGCGGGTCGTGAGAGGCGCCCTCGCAGTCGACGTAGAGGACGTGCGGGAACGCGCGGAGCGTCGGCGCGCCGCGGGCGCTCGTGTCGAGGATCATCACGGGGTGGCCCGCCGCGGCGCCACCGCCGCCGCCGCCGCCGTCGTTGTTGTTGATGACCTCCAGCTTGGTCAGGTTGATGTTGCGGGAGGAGAAGGCGGAGAGGACCTTGAGGACCACCATCATGGAGCCGCCCCGGTGGGCGACCACCATGCTGGTCTTGGCGTCGGCGTCCATGGGCAGCGTCACCGGCGAGGGCGGCTTGGAGAGGAGCAGGAAGCGGGTGACGTTCCATGACTCGTCCTGGAGGCCGTGCGCGAGCACGTCGAGGCCGTAGAGGTCGGCGGCGCGCGGGCTGGCGATGGCGGCGGTGTCGAGCATCCGGTTGGACCGCAGCATCTCCACGGCGCCGGCGGTGTCCTCCACGGGCTCCCTGTCCACGCCGAGCCGCGCCAGCGCACGGCCGCAGTGCGCGAGCGCCATGGGGTGGCTAATCACCCGGCGCACCTCGGCGGCGCGGACACCGGGCATGGCGAGGAGGCAGTAGTGCACGAACAGGTTGATCTCCTGGACCACGACGAGGTCATGCCTCAGCAGGAGGTCGTAGTTCCGCAGCGCGGTGCCCTCCATGGTGGACTCGACGGGCAGTATCGCGCGGTCGACGGCGCCGCCGTCGACCGCCGCCAGCGCGTCGGCGAACGCGCGGCAGGGCACGGTGTCGCACCCGGGGAGCGCCGTCTTCGCCGCGAACTCGCTGTACGCGCCCGGCGCGCCCTGGAACGCCACCCTGAGCCCGAACCCATCCTGGCCCCCGGCGCCGCCCGTGCTCACCGACAGATGGATCCGGTCATTCCCGTTGATGTGCTGCGCCGCCGCCTTCTTCCTCCCGCTCCCGTTGACCCCCTTCTTGCCGTCGCCGTTGATCTGCGCCTTGCCGTTGGGGGACTTCTTGGAGGAGTGTCCGTTGACGCCGTTGATCTTGGCCGCCGCGGCGACGAACGACGGAGGCGGAGGCCGCGAGTAGGAGGAGGAGGGGTTGGTCTTGGGGAGGAGGAGGTGCTTGTGGAGGTGGAGGGAGGAGGAGGTGTAGGCCATAGAACGGCGCGCGGCGGCGGCGGCGGCGGCGGCGAGAGGAGAGGTGGTGGGTTGGGATTGGGTGGGGAGAGAGAGAGGCAAGGAAAATGGAGAGTTTTCACAGTTTTAGCTAACGAGCGTGGTGGGGGAAGGTTTTGCTGACTTTTTATAAACACACGGCGGCAGCGGCTGGTCGGCAGCGGTTTGGCTCTGGTTTGCTGCTTACAATTGGCTGTTTACTGTTTATTTCTTGCTTCTGCCTTAAAGGCTTCGGTAATTGGTGTTGTTCACAGTGTAATTGACGGAGACTGCGGATGAGGGTGAAGGGCTTGAAGGCTCCCCCGGTTATTGGTGTTGTTCACCGTGTAATTGACGGAGATTGCGGATGAAAGTGAAGGGTTATAAATGGTGGTTAAACACGCGAACCATATTGATTTAGGGTGTGTTTGGTTGAATGAACGAGTATTGATAGGAGATGACCGTCTGATTTTCTGTGGTGTTTGGTTAGAGGGTAAGGTGGATGGGGCGGCTCGAAATAGGGAATATTACCTCAATATACTGGATGAGTGCATCTAGCCGATTTGGCTAGATGAAGCCATCCAGTTTTGGTCTGGATGATGTGTCCTATTCTGATTGGCTGTGGTTGGTTTGATTTTCTATTAAGTAAGCTCCAAATGATTTTTTTTCTCTTAAACCGTTTATCTAATTTATGATTTGATCACACCTTTATATTTGTTACAACTAAATCTTTTAAAACAAGATTTCGGATTATTATATTTTGAAATATATATATATATATATATATATATATGAAAAATGGGTCCCACTAACTTTTGCCTTTTCCCATTCATGCTATATCCCTCCAACCAAACAAGTAATTTGGTCATCATATCTATACAAATAAAACAAAAAATTGGATCGTCATCCAATAAAAAATGGATCGCCATATCACACCATGCATGACCGTGAACCAAACACACCCTTAGTCATTGGGATTTGGGAGCGATTGGTTGTGAGTCGATCCTGCCGTCTGATCGGAATCTAACGGTCTAACCTACAGCTTTGATCGCTTATCTCCGTGCTAGCCAGCCTAACCGCACTGTGTTTTAGGCCATGAGGCTTTTCTAACGAATGTTAGAGAGACACGAGCATATGACGTGTGAGTTTATGAGGGTGGGTCTTACATGTGAAGGACTCATGTTTCTCTGAATTTATGATAGAGGAGTTGTTTTTGTGTTTTAGGGTTTTCTTGCATTGGCAAGACTCGCTTGGGGCGTGGGTAATGATAAACATAGAGATGTTCGATGTTGTCATGTAGCAGTGTATGGTGCTGGCATACGATATTCTATGATAGGCTGAGTCTAGGTGGCATCGAAGTTGCTGCATCAGTTGATGAGGTTGATAATGCTGACATCAAAGCAACTACACTTTTTAGTTGAAGTTAGAGCTCAATCGTATCCATGCGTGCTGTTGAGGTGCGATGGGCGGTGACCTTATTAGCAGTTTTGGCATTCTGGTGGTCGCGTGTGTGTCTCTAGGGTGAAAGTGCTAGTTACGTCACTGCCTTCGGACACCGTTCACCTTCTAGAGATGATACTATGGGAATTTTGTGAATACCACATTTAGGAAGTCCTTTGGGTGTGTGAACCTATAGATCCATTTTGGATTGGACAATGTTGTCATTCTGTCGGCATGCCCTTGTTGAAGTTAGGGCTCTTATTCAACGTGGGAGCAACGACAATAACTTTCTGTGGAGTGAACGTTTCACCTGACGTTATCATAGGTTTGTGTCACTTGAGTCATGTGTTTTCATTCGTGGTGGTTATATTAAGTTTTTCGATTCTGATTTTCCTCATAAACTGAATCAACTATATTCTTGTATAGCAAATTACAGGAATACCATACCCTTTTCAAAGGTTTTTCAAGGAAAAAGGAACAACCTATTCAATCATCTAGTTGGAACACGCTCGTTGTCGGCTTGTCGCTCAATACTCATGTGTCCTCTATTTAACTGCACGCCGCCTCCTAATTTAGCGGCATTGGTATGTACAGGAGTTGTATGTGCATGATTCCATCCTTTAAACTTCGATTGCGTACAACTATATGCACGCAAGCAATTGTATAGATTTATTTAGGTGTGTATTTAGGGCTTAAACTCTAGGTTGTGTGTGCATATTAATGTATGATGATGTATATTAATGCATGTCTCTGAACAGAAGCCTAAATCATATTCATACCATATCAAGAAGTTCCTTTGTTTGTATTAATTTAACTTTTGATCAAAACCTACCAGAAATGTGTAGTATAAGGATTGATATATACGGCAATGTACAAGATAGCAAGTGGAATGAGATGATTAATTAGGACTATTGAGGCACTTTAGGAAACATTGCATTAGATGACATCTTGTTGGCATCTTAGTCATAGTCACATAGATGCATATATTGGGTGGCTTTGCTTCTAGAAGGTTGGTTACTCTGTGATGCGGTGTTATCACCGTTTGCTTGTTGATTTATGCCGCAACTAAAATTTGATTGATTTTAAGTTCTTTTATTATAATATTTTTTAGCATTGCTTTTATATCGCTGAGAACATGATTTAAAAGTTTTACCATAAATTATTTTTAGTTGTTTCATTCATTTTCTGTAGAGCAAACGATGAGCAAACTAGTGTTGGGTTACAGGGTAACAATTTCCTCAAGCAGCTTGGACTTGTGAATGTGAATATAGTTGATGCAAAGATCAAAACTATATACTATATGGTAAATCATCAACCCCGTTAATTCCGCAAGATTAGTGCAGTCCAAAAAATATCTTCTCCTAATTCAAAACACTTAAAACAACTCCTTTACCTGTACTACTATCCAAGCAATTCTCACAACCAAAGCAGAGCTGGCTTTGATTTTGAACACATGATTATTCTGTGACCCTGAATTGCTGGAGTCTAATTAACCAATGGCTTTCGCTGTTGGACAGCAATGCCGCATAACTTTCCAGTCTTTCCTTCGTTTTCCGTGTGCCTTTCACTCTGTTGAGTGTGACCCTGACGAGTGGCGCGAAGCAGCTGTGAGCTTCCTTTCTGTAGCTTTCCCTCCATTGATGGCTGATGCAGATGCAGTGGCCAGCCAATTGCGTTGCTGTCTCGGCTCTCAATCGATGGACAGTATCGCCGGTGCTTTCCATACCTCTCTTGCTGTAAGTCTGTAACTATTAGTGGTATGCAAATGGGAGATGTGATAAGCTCGAAGAATCATTCTTGATGGTTACTTCATCAGATAAGAACGTGGCGGTTAATGTTGATATGCAGATCTGACTACAGTATGATTGACGTTTTGGGAAGAATGCTAGTACTACTAGTGGCTTGTTTAGGCAAACGTGATTGGCCTGACTAATTCTACTTCTAGAGTAAAGTAAAGGTCGCTTTCTACTAGTATAGTACTTTGTATACCTTTTTTAGTGAAACAACTGCGAAGGATGGAAACGGTATGAAAATTTCCGTTCATATACCGAGATTATTTTTATACAATAAATATGAAAATGGTATCGTTTCCAACCGTTTTTTGTTTCTAGCCATCTATAGAACTTAGATTTTTCTAATTTCATTCAGCATCATACTAATGTCACCACTAAATAGTTAAATTCATCAATATGAAAAATTCCCCACCATATTAAGACCGTTTCCAGAAAATAATACTCTCTCTATATTTTAATATATGACGCCGTTGACTTTTCAACCAACGTTTGACCATTCGTCTTATTTAAATTTTTTTGTTTAAATATAAAAATATTTGTATCAAGCTTAAACAATATTTGATGATAAATCAAGTAACAATAAAATAAATGATAATTACATACATTTTTGAATAAGACGAATAATCAAATGTTGATTAAAATGTTAACGGCGTCATATATTAAAATACGGAGAGAGGATAAGTTAATATTGTTTCCAACTGCTTTTATGGTACTGCTTGATCTACTAGAACAAGCTAAAATTAAGCTTGCCACGACCACAAGATGCAATTTTTTTGTAATGGTGGCTGGCAAGTTAATTGGATAAGCACAATGCAGGACTTGTGTAGTCAACTGATGTCAATGCTGAAAACAAAAAAAAAAAGGTGGATGCATGCACGCGAGACGGCCAAAGTCAGTGATGGCGGGCGTCGTTAACAAGTGGAAATTCAACACCGCACGACACGGCTCTCCCAACGCGCGCTGTCATATGGGAGAGAGAATTTTGAGGCTCCGTTATTATTCTTCCAATAAACTTCTACTTCTTTTGAAATTTCTCCAAAATTTCCGTTTCACCTTTCACCCAAAGGTATCAAATACAGCCAAACCGTTTACATCACCCTAAAACATCATCAGTGCTCATTCACAATACTTATTTTTTTCATAAACACGTAAAAAATTGCACGTCCACGTAACACTTATATATCCTGACATAGTATACTTATTTTGTTACGTCTAACCTTAGTCGTGGTAAACCGTTTATTTTATAACCCTCCATTATCCTGGGTCCATTGCCGGATGAAGCTGATGGGCCAGCCATCAACCTGTCGTTGCTTGCCGTGTAGAAAAAAACGGACAGGAAGGATACGGCCGGCGCCTGCCCCTGTCAAAATCTTCGACTACAGATGTCTCCGCAACAATTCAATATTCTGGCGGCGATGGCTGTCTAGAACGATTGCGTTTCTGCAATTGGTTATTCATCGTTTAATTACTCTTCTTTTTATTATTATTAGTACTCGTTTAACACTAGATATGTTCGGCCAAAGCCTGGACGCGATGTGTGCAGTGTGCATGTGCAGTGTCGGATGAAAGGCCTAATCCAGGCACGCTCTTTCGCCATTTCTTGAGGTTCTTATCGATTGCTCATATTCCCTAGCAAGCTATAATATTAGAGAATAAAAATAATTTATAGGTGAAACTTTTATATATGTGTTATTAACATTCTAAAAGTCGATGCTGAAAAAGAAAGTACATTAAAAATATCTTAAAACCAATTTCAAAATAAAATTTGAAAATTCAAATTTTAGCTTTTGCTTTGATTTATTAGTACAGCCAATATGGCTATAACTTATCTCTCGGTGTGGTCACATACTCACATCGCATCACCAAAGTGGGCGTATGGGCCTGACTGATCATGATAGGGAAGAGGACCAATCGATTTGGCACGGTTCCATTTTCATATTACAAGTGGCCACCAGGTCCATACTACACCAATCCTTTTCCTCCTGACTTAAAGGAGACTGCGTAACTGAGTGAGTGAGTGACCGTCCTAGAGTATTTATCTTTAGCATTTAAAATTTGTCTCACAAAAACTTTATTTCCACGGGTTACAGCTGAATAGCTGATAAGACCATTAAAGCCTAGAAATAAAAACAAGAATAAAAATATCAGTTATTTCTCTTCGCCACTAGTTTGTTTCAGAATTGCTCGAAGTAAAGTTTCCCTGAAACGTGTAGCTTTTGCGCCTTCGCCCCATAGTAACAAGTGTCATTTTGAACGTACAACGGATGGCTTGGGCGTGATTCTTTTCATGGGCCGTGCTGGATGGGCCAGGCAGCCCAAAAGTCGTTCATGCTGCTATGACTATACACGGGCCATGGCATGGGCCGCTTGATACAGATTCTACTAGAATGAGGATAACACACAGATGCAAGACATACACAAGGCCAATACACAAAACAAATAACAATCAATTTATACATGTTTATACTCATAGGCTTCCTCGAACTACATAAGAAACTAACATATGTTTTAACATACAAAAGAAGGTCGACGTAATGTATTTAGGTGGACATTTTGCCCCCCCCCTTCCCCGGTCAAAAAAAAAATACAAAAGAAGGTTCAATTTTCAATATATCTATTAGCTCTGAGCCTCCAAACATCTCGTAAGCACCAAAATAAGGTAACATATATGTTTCATTGATCTTGGTTGAGCACTTGACCAATTTTAATGTGGCTGAAATTGTAAACAAGAAGGAAAACCGCAAAATTAAGTATTCATTCAGCAGATGTTTCCATTATCAGATCCAGAGGATTAGGGTATAGGATTAGGAGAATTAGAGAGCAAGTGGCAATTGGACAAGGATTTAGGGGTTTCGCCGTATTGGAGGAGAACTTACCTGCTGCTCCAGCTTGGGGCATCGGGCCACTCGACGGATGGCAGCAAGATACAACAGCTGACGCCTAGATGGGATCGCCGATGACTTATCAACGTCAGACATTAAGGGAGAAAATGTTTGTGTGAGGCTACAGTAGGCATGTAGCTTCACCAATCACCACCGCTCTTGTAGAAACTATGGAGTATTTTGCTGGTTGAGTGGAACACGCGCACGCACCACTTATATGCATACCACACCGATATGTACAATCCTTCAGCACATGTTCAATAGATTTTGGTATGGGTAATCCATGAACCTAACAAATTATTTTCTAAGCACGTTCAAGTGTGTAATATCTTCATCAGAATGCTGCGCATCACTTGACACATTTTTGGGGGTGAAACCACGTAAATTTCTAACCTTGCAAATTGTATCTATGATTTATGCTATGGATTTATCTCCGACGAGTTCCAGCAAACATCAGTGAGTATTTGAGTCGGGGTGGAGAAAGTAGAAGGTGTTTCCGGCTTAGAGGGATGACCAGAGTGATGTACGGTAGGTCCGTGTTGGAGCCGATTGTGGTGGTGGGGCGGTGAGGCGGCGGGGAGAAGGGGGCGAAATGACACGTAGATACTTCTTATGATTATCAGGATCTACGCACTAACTAATGGCAAACTCATGCATGTACAACTTCACGACCACGCCAAAAGTGTTCCCATCGTCCAGATAGCTTTCGACTTTCAAGGAAGCTTGCAGAATGTAAGATGCTGAACGCTCATAAAAGGATGATCTGGCTTTTGACATTCTCGCAGAATAGTATACTATTTGGGGGATAAGTTCAAGAACGTCCTTTTCCCCCAAATTCCAAAAGGCAAACAAAATGCTTGGATTGAGCTTTACTCCAAGCTAACCACAGATGGATCTGCAGCTAGCTAGCATCGATCATCAATCAATCAAGCAGCTGGGGCTAGCTTAGCTTGGTAGTGCATGCATTCATCACCATGTGGGCCTTCAGGGAGATATCGCCAAAAACCCCTTCAGGTCCCATGCATACTAGTGGCCTTGTGGGGGCATCCACAGCTTCGTGTAGTGCAGCAATTCGATCGTATCGTCGTGGAGCACTGATGCTAAGTTGCTAACAAGTTACAGGCTAACAGCTGAATTCTCCTGCAGTGTTGGTAGGACTTGCTGTTTCTTCTCTCTGCAAGCTGGCCGTGCTTAACAACTAGCACACTCGTCAACGCACACAAAAATGTTTTTCATATTTTGATCGATCGTGGTACAGCCGGCGATCAGTTATTCAGACTGGTGATCAGTTATCACTAATTCACCATCCAAAGCATATGAGCCTCTGAAAATGGAGTGTTGCAGCGATTATATTCTCGTCGTTGTCTTTCAGAGGAAACAAAAATCTCTCACCATGCATGGCTCCTACAAGCTAGCTAGCTTCGTGATCTAGTAACTGGATATGGTAGGTGGCAAGAAAACAAAAGAATCTAGCGATTCATCATCTACTCATCATGCCAAGACTGATCCCTTTCACCTTTTCCATTAAACCCTTAATTATGGTGTTCGAGACCGGGTCAAAAATAAATTAACATCCTGCAGATCACGGCTTGATCAGCCGCCACTTGGACGCGAGGATCGTACTAACCTCGTCGCGCACTAACGCGAAAGCGGCTTTGCGACATGTGAGATCTCCCCCAATGTGGCGAGACGCCATTGGCCTGACCGTCCTGTAAGCCTGAAACAGCCACTCTTTTTTGCTCCCTGTGCTTCACAGCTAATCCCTAGCCCAGCGTCGATCGAGCAAGCAAGAAACGCGTATCCCGATTTGTCCCCAATGTTTTCACCAACTCCCGCCCGTTTTTATACCCTCGCAATCCTCCGTTTCGGTCGAGTTTAGTACACATCTTCCTCTAATATAAGCCAGTTTGTTTTTTTTTACGATCCGTACTAGACGGTGCGAAATTCTATTGGTAGAGCAGGCCAGTGTACGTATAAGTACGTGCATGTTGATGAGCTGATCGAGTGATCGATCAGTGTGGCAGTGTGGTGAGCAATGTGAGAGGCACGTAGGTGTGGATTGGTGTGTTGGGTTGTGGCATGGAGCAACGGGCGGCGGCGGCGGCGCAGCAGCGGCAGGGGAGGAGGCAGAGCGCGGCGGCGTGCGGGATCAGGCGGGCGAGGGCGGAGACGCGGCACCCGGTGTACCGCGGCGTGCGGTTCAGGGCGGGGAAGTGGGTGTCGGAGATCCGGGAGCTCCGGAAGCCGAGCAGGATATGGCTCGGCACGTACGCCACCCCCGAGATGGCCGCCGCGGCGTACGACGCCGCCGCACTGGCGCTGCGCGGGCGCGGCGCGGCGCTCAACTTCCCCGACGCCGCGCGGTCGCGCCCCGCCCCGGCGTCCGCGTCCGCCGACGACGTGCGCGCCGCGGCCACCGCCGCCGCCGCCGCGATGGCACACCAGGAGGAGGACGACGACAGTCGGCGTCAGCTCGAGGACGGGGGCGGCGGCGGCGGCGTGGTGGACGAGGACGACGTGCTGGAGATGCCGAGGCTGATGGTGAGCATGGCGGAGGGGCTGATGATCAGCCCACCGCCGGTGATGCTCGGCCTGCAGGCGGACGGCGGTGGAATAATGGACGAGGGCGGCGGCGTGGTGAGGTTGTGGGATCACAGCTGAGTGTTCGACCACGTACTGTGGGTAATGGAGGAGGGTATGTGCGCGAGTGCAACGCCATGATCGATCGATGGATGGATCGAGCAGATGCAGCTGCAGGTGGTGTGGTGAGGATCGATCGCCCTGAGACGTGGACGTACGGAGGAATGTGTGTCCTAACGTACTATACGTGCGTACGTGGTGATGCGCCTCTACGTAGACGTAGCGTGGGTGTGATCCAAGTGGATGATGGTGACACAATACACATACAATGTACTATATGGATACTGGGACATACAGTTACACGGACACCTTTTTCTTGCAAAAGATACTCCTACTCTCCTAGATTAGTCAACGGTTTGAGTTTGAGACAAGCAGGTAATGTGATTTTTTTTCGATTATATGGCAGAAGTGCGCACACATCACTATATCCGCAACACCATACTCACATCTCACGAATGTGCCCTCTAACATACGCTTTAAAGACAATCCCACCCCCCAATTATACCGCAGACGCATATATGCACATCATTATACACATTAACAGTGCACTCACACCCCCATGAATACGTCAGCTAACACAGGCTCTAACAAACGAAAACCAACTGCACATCCCTTATCTCACTAAAATTCTGTTAAAAGCCCACCTGCATATGTGTAATATTCGTGGGCACCATGATTTAGATCCTAATGGGTAAAGTCATACACCCACAACTCCACCATCACACCACTGGTGTTTTCTCATAATGTGAAAAAATGTTTCCAATAGCATTGACAATTTTCACATCATGGAAAAATGTCGCTTGTAAAAACAAAATTGTTTATACAGCTGTTGGTGCGTAAAACAATGGTTTATATTTTGGGATGAAAAATTAGTGAAGAAATTTGACTATGATTTTTTTTTAAAAAAATTGGTTCGGAGTTTTGGTGGATGTTGGCATAAGTGTATGCCAGATTACAACATATGTGCCTAGAAATAGTTGTTTGGTCTATTTGTATGCAATGACTTGAGGACTGTTGACAACCAAAATTGGCATATCCTAACAAAACAAGATACTCCAGATGATCTGGTTTTGGGTGTCCGAACGAACGATTTGTATTCTTAATAGATTCATTATGGATTCAATTTGTACAAGGGGTAAGATCAATGTACCATCCTGAAAATTTTAACATTTTCAAAAATGCACCATGACGATTCTTTGCTTATTACTTCGATTATTTCTTCTATTCGGAGAAATATAAAGTGTGTCTTTTAATCTGAAAAGTTGATTTCAGATATTTCTATCCTTTTATGTCTTGATTCAAATTTTTGAATCTTAAACCTTTTTATTGAATGTTTGATGTATCTTGCTTTAAATTCCTAGAATTTTGAACCATTTCTTATTTCCATCCATTTCTAGAAAAGCCCAAATTAGTATCATCTCAACTTTATAATTTCGACCTTTTTATTGATTTGGAGTTTCTTGGTTGAGTTTTATATTTAAATCTCTTCCTTCTGAAATACTTCCTTTGTTTCAAATGTATGTACTTCATATATATGTGCTCATACTTCCTTCTGAAATACATCCATGTATGTGCTTCATATATTTGTTTGGTTTCATATGGATGTTAGTAAATCTAGACGAGAGATAGAGGGGGTCAAAACATCTTATAATGTGAAACACGCGGGGGGGGGGGGGGGGGGGGGGAGGGGTGTAAGATCCAAGATGTCCATATTACATGTTACTTCTAAGTTCCAAACCTCTAATTTATATTAGTCCCATTTTTAAAACAAGACCTTCTCCTTGAAACCCTTTTTCATCACATAGTCTCTATATACTCCTACACCAAAAATTTAATTAAACCTTAAATTCAAAATCATTCCTATAAACTTAAAGTTTCCTTAGATATGATGTAGTTATTTTTCTAACACAAGATAAGAGGTGCACAAGTCTATATATTTTATCATATATGCGCACAAGTCATAGTAATATGAAAATAGTGTATCGTACCGTCAACATATCAATCTGTATCGTTATATCTTGGAAAAGCTATTTTAAAATTCTGAATACCTATCCTATAAATTCTAGATCCGCAACTGTTCTATAGAGCCAAAATTTCGAACCGCAAGTAATATTTTCAATAAGGAATAAAACCGTCGACATTACAAGTTTTAAGAGTCGGACAACCATAGTTACATGCCCTCATTAGCAGCTTCCACGAAGTGGTAACAGGCAACAATAAAGATGCAGTTTTGGTTCTGCTTCTACCAACGCGGCGACTCAACACGCACACAGCTGTAGGTTCATCTCTGGAAACGCCCTCCTGTATCGGCTGCCGCAACGACGACGACGACCAGAAGCCGCGGCGAAACTGTGAGCCGGCCGGCACATTTACGTGCAGCTCGCGCTGCATGCAGACTGCAGGTTATGCAGGCTACAGTACATCAGTACCGCAGGAAAAAGAAAAAACCCCCAATTTTTCATCGTATCCTACTGCTGCGGGTTGAGCACATGAGGCAACTCTGGTTACAGCTGTTTGCTGCTGCTGTTGCAACTCGACCGAGTTTACTAATGCAAATTGAGCGGCCTAACTCAAATTCGTCGAGACCTGCGCTTCGTACGGATGGTTATATCAAGTTTAGCCTGCCCAAACGAGGCTGCAATCGCGAGACCGGTGTCCTGAGCCGTCTCCCATCTGCCAATGGAGGAGGAGGCAGCAGCTAGTGGCGACCATACCATCAAAGCGTCCGTCGTGCTTCTGTTCCGTCGGCAGTTGCTCGCCCAGGCTGCATTGATTCGATGCATTTGCTTGGTGCCGCCAATTTGGTTCGAGTTCGAGACCTCTGCATTCATGTTCGATTACCTTCGAAAAAAATTGAAGCCTCTGACGACTCTCCTGAAGATTGATTGACCTCGTTGAACAGAGTGAATTAAAATTGTGCACACGGTTAATTTCCATTACTGGGTGGAATAATCAGGCAGGGGACAAGGAGAACAGGCAAGGAGAATCAAAAGGCACAGCTGGACTGGACTAGAGCTCGGCTGCTCGAGCCTCGTTTTCGAAGTAAAAGAATGGAGGCAGGCAGACAGTATCTATTCCCCTCCAACTCTCCACGTGTAGCAGTCAACTGTACTTGACTCGTGCAGAAGGCTACACGAGCGAAATCTGCAGGCCAGATGCAGAATCGAATCGCATCGCGTCGAATCGTCGCCACGGCGGCCGCGGAAGCCGCGCCGAAAGCTCGTCGGAGCAGTAGTTTAATCGTCTGGAAACACGAACAACAAATCACATTAGTGAAGGTTATTGTAAAAAAGTTGTGTGGTTCAGTTCGAAGCTGAAGCAAAGCGTGTAAAAATTTGCCCGCTTCGATTTTGCAGATCCGATACACGGTAAAATGTACAGAAGGATTTAACAAAACCGTACGGTTATCACGTGGTTATCACAATTACCATACACGGTAATCTTTTCAGTTTTTTAACCACGATATGTCTCACGGTTACCACGTAGTTTATCGCGGAGGTTTTGTAACCGTACCAAAAGCAATAAGAGAAACCTGATGTGTTAAATCCCATATGGGATTGGTTTATTTTGGAACGTGGCGTTGAGATTGGCGTTCGATCTGCGCGTAGGTAGAGAAGAATAGAACCTAGTTTTGCCGGCAGGCGCGGCCGCGTTTCACGCGATGGGACGCGCGCCACGTCGCCGGCGTAATGGCGCCGCGGACGCTGGCTGCACGCGCCCCTACTGGCCCCTGCTCCGAGGCTCGCCTCGCCGCGAATCCGGTACTGCGTGGTACGAGTCGGGACCGGGTCACCGGTCCAAGGCCCCCAAACAAATTCACCGATCCGATCCGTCGTCGTTTCTGCCGAGTTTTACCGCCGCCGCTGCTGCTGTAATTTGGCGAAGGCCACACGAGTTCACGCCGCGATCACCCAGACACGGGACACCACCCTGGTTGCGACAGAAACAGGGGAGCCTTTCACATCTTACGTGGTCAGTCCTAGAGAAACAGAGTAGCGTACAGTACAACCACTGCATTGTACCGACTACTTCTTTTATACTGTATCCGCCCTCTAGAGATTTTTTTTATTTTGTTGTACTGTTTGACTATTCGTTTTATTTTAAAAAAAATAAAATTATTATCTATTTTATTTGTAACTTCCTTTATTATTCAAAATACTTTATACATAACTTTTTGTTTTTTATATTTATAAAAAAAATTTTAATAAGATGAGTGGTCAAACAAGTAAAATGTTAAAAATCTCTTATATTAAGAGATAGAGGAAGTATTCTTTTGACTGAGAAATTGTACCGATCGAGTATTTACGTTACTACTACTACTAGTACGCATCACCAAGTGATCGCTTTCGATCTCTCTGTTTTTCTTACGGAATTCAACCTTGTTCGGTCGTCGGATCGATCTTATTAACTTCTTACCAGCATGTGTTCGTGCACATCAGTTTTCACCCAGCAAACACTCGTGTACGAGTAGAGACACGGAACGGTCCTTATTATTACACGCATTGACCGCCTATCCAGTTCCCTCGAGTACTAGTACTACAGACAGTGCCAACCTACTCTATTGGATTAGTAATTCCAAGCTACTGCCCCTGTCATTTCGTATTACAAGTTGTTTTATTTTTTAAAAAAAATATTGTTTATGTTTAACTAAATTTATAAAAAAATTAGCAACATATATAATATTGAATTAGTTAATATAACACTAAGTATATTTTGATAATATATTTATTTTGTGTAAAAATGTTATTATATATTTCAATAAACTTGATCAAACCAAAAAAGTTTAACAAAAAATCAAAACGATTTAGGAACCTTTGATTCATATAATTGGCAAACGATTTTTATAGGATTCAAATTCCTATAGATTTGTTTCCTACATGTTGCTTTGATTCATAGAAAAGAAACAAAAGTTCTATAGGATTGTATTCATATGCTTCACATTTCATAGAAAAAATAGCGTGAACTTTCCTTTGTTTTTCTCATAGCACGATCAAATAGCTCCTATTATCTTTCCTGTTGATTCCTGTAGGATTTGAGAAACATACTATTTCACGTCTTGTATTTTTCCTATCCTCGAATCAAAGGGGCTCTTATTATAATATGAAACTGAGGGATTACTGCTTTAATTTGGTCACAAAGCTCACTCCGGTTTCGTCATTCCAAGCTACTCCTACTCCCGTTTGGTCACAAAGCTAGGCAGCGACCAAACCATAAAAACTCCTATAGCTCGTACTCCTACATCGTAGCCACCGCGCCTCCCATGGAGTGAGTACTAGTAGCAGGTAGAAACGCCACGATAACCTCGGCCTCGGGGCAAACCAAATCCGCCGCGCTGAGCCGAGCGTGTATTTAGCAGGCGATCTCTCTCCTCCTCCTTCTCCCACTCTCCCCAGCTCAGCCGCTCCGCCCACCGCCACCACCGTCGCTGCCCGCTGCTCGCTGCATCTCCCAACCGACAACCCGCAGCTCACCTGTACGTGCTCTCGCGTCGATCCAAACAAGCTCCAAAAACATCAAAAACCCCACGCACATTTCTTTACTCGCCCGGAGAAGCTACCGCGCGCTTGCTACCTCTCGCGTCTCCGTCTCTGCGTTGCATTGCATTGCATTGCTCGTTCTGTCATCGGATCCGAGTCTGGGATGGCGGCAATGGCGGGAGGGAGTAAGCCGCTGAGGCTCAAGGACCTCCTGGAGCTGGACTGCGAGTCCTGCAGCGCCGCTGGCTTCCGCTGCTACCCTCGCCGCCTCTGCGTCGCCGGCGGCGCGGCTGAGGCGGCGGCGCCGCCAATGCGGCACCGCCTCGTCGCCGACCGGTCGTCGTCCGCAATGCGGCGGCCCAAGCTGTCCAGCCTCTCGAAGAGCCTGTCCCGGCGGCTCAGGGGAGGCTTCTGGAGGCGGCGCGAGGAAGAAGACGAGGAAGCCGCCGCCGCCGCCGCGGCGCCGCCGGCGACGGCGAGCTCCACCGCCCCCGCCGTGGCCAGCTGCTGCAGCTCCAGCTCCGACTCCGAGACGTCCGAGTCCAGCAATTCCACAGGCGGGAGGAAGTCGCGCTCCCACTCCGACTACTCAGAAATCTCGTCAGCCAGCTCCGACGACAGCCTCCACGCCGCCGGCGAGCCCTCCACCACCGGAGCCGACCACGAGGTAATCAACCATTCCATCAACCTCACTTCTCTCCTACTCAATCACTCACTCACTCACTCACTAACCTTGATGAGGAATCAATAATTGGGCGTTAATTCAGCTGCTGGTAGCTTGGGTTTAGTTGCATTAGTGCCCCAAAATTTGCGTAAACTCCAGGGCGAAGTGGGATTAGCCACCAATTAACGATCGAAGCGGAGACCCCACCCACGGCGATTAAATGCCACAACCGAAGCACATTCATTCGGTAGCAGCGATCCATTATTCACCAACACATGGATTGCTCGATTGTTCGGATAATCTCCTGACTTGTTCATGTTACGAGTATCCAAAGGGGAGCCCTAGCTACTGACTCCTGCATTGATGAGCGTATACAGCCAAACATGGACCTATGTACACAGGGTGTAGAGTAGTACAGTAGTAATTCGTGTACCATGTGCGATAATACGTAGTACTACTACTGCCCTGTGCTAGCTGCTGCTCCAATTGTGGTGATTGATCGATCGAGATCGGTCGAAATGACCTGTCCATCCATGCATTGATCGATCAATCAGTAGGGTTGTACCTGGCTACTGATTTTACGGCCATTGATCAGCAAGGATAGAAGTAGCATTGCAGATGATACCACTAATTAATTATTCGTAGAGATTAGAGGCCTCTGTGGTGTGGTTGGCTCGCTGGTGCTGTGCATGCATGAGCAGTAGCTCTGTGGCTCAGTGGACCAGAAGGGGCAGTGGTTGCAAAGCGTAAATGCAAAGCGGGCCGTTGCACAGTTAGTGCGGGCTTGTCCGGAAGCATGATGCAGCGGGGCCAGTGTCCTGTGCATGGCACGCTCTACCCTCACCTCGCGTAGCTTCCGCTCTCTGCATGTGCACACGACGGCCACATGGTTTAATGCCCCAACTAAAATTAAACCAACTCGTCGTTTCAGCGGTGATGCTGATAGTAGCATCGTTATCGCTGAAACGACAAGTTAGCTTAGCACTATAGCCGACGTCCGGGAAAGCCGGACGATGTGTCGTGCCGTACGCCGCTACAGACGCGTCGCTTGGACTGACGCTGCCGTGGCGAAAGGTCGTGGATTAGAAATGGACGAGATGACAAAATGGGGTTGTGTGGTTGAGACAAAATTGGTGGATGATTGCTGGTGTACGGTGTGATGCAGGTGATGAAGAGGGGATCCAAGGAGGAGGATGAGGAGGAGGAGGCTGACGACAAGGAGCAGCTCAGTCCGGTGGGCGTCATGGACTTCCCCTTCGACGAAGACGACGACGACGCCGCCGCCGTCGACGAGGACGAGAGGGTCGCCGCCGGCGCGTGCTCGTTCTCTTTCAGCGACAGCCTCGCCCAGCTCCAGAGTAAGCAAACTGATTGAACTGAACACGTACACTCATCCTTTTTCTGAAGAATCTGTCACAAACCAAAGTTTATCCTAAAACCAAAGGACAATTACGTACTATAAAATGCATAACGTGTCGAGTTAACTGTGTGATAGTAGTGTTGTGTAGTCTACACAATGGTGTCAAATCTTCAGATGAGATGGGTCGGGACGGGTCCGAGGTGTTCGTCGCCTAGTGCTAGTGCCGAACCGGAATCTGCTCTGTTTCTGTCTCTTGCTCGGACACGAAACGGGGCATGGACAAAAGAAGATGTTCCGATTTTTGTACTGTTCATACGGGCCCCCGGGAAAGGCGGAAATCCCGGATCGTGTAAAGATCCTACTGGGCCCACCCGACCAGTGACTGTCGGAGATGGCCACAAAAGGCACATACTAGGCCAGTGGTTTTCTCAGCTTTTTTTTTTATCTTGGTTGATTGAGCATATTTGACTCTCGAAATTTACTGGATTTGGGATTGGTTAATTAAGGGCTTGTTAGGATTATAGGGTTTCCACATTATTTTTGGGAAATACTATTCACTAAGGGCTCATTCGATTTAGAGGTTTTTCATAAGATGATTGTAGGAATTAAATTCCTTGGATTTTTTTTCTATATGCATCATTCATTTCATAAGAATGGATCCCACAAAATTCCTAAGGATTGTAATCTTACAAGCTAATTTCATAAGATTCTTAGTATGAGGTGAGGTGAGATTTCTTGAAAAAATTCCTAATAAATAGAGTGCATGTCACATCATAATCTTTTACTCCGAACGATTCTATCTCCTGTATTTCTATGTTTTCGATCATCTATTTTCCATGTGAGCTGAATTCCTATCCTACGATCCGAACAAGCCCTAAATGTTTTAAACACTTTCTTTCTTTTTGAAATGAGGTTTTAAATACTTTCTAATAGTTCTCAAAATAAATAATTTCTGCTACTAAACTCTATCCCTAAGCCATGTAAAAGAACTCTATGCTTAAGTAAAGTTACTAGCTACTAGTAACTCTATCCCTTTTACCTTTTTATATTTGTATATACAAACTCTATATTAAAAATTGTATGGGGTCAACAAGTACTTGCTGCTTCTAGCCTCCTACGACTTACTTGAAGTATAACTCATTAGTATATTTTTACCGTTTACCGTGGATCAGGGAGAAAGATGCAACTGCAGCCCAAGATCCGACGGCTCGGGAGCATGGCGGAGCTCAGCGGCGTGGATCTCGAGGCACGCTTCGCCGCCTCGGAGTCCGACCGCCTTGCCGGCATCGTCCCAGTACAGCACCAGTGCATTACCGACGACGTAGCGGCGGCGCCGCCACGACACGACGATCATCGGAACGACGGCGTCTCCCAAAAAGATCCCGACGACGACGAGGACAGCCTCCTAGACCTACTGGCGGACACCGTGTCGGTCGGCGTGGTGGATGACGTCACCGAGAGGCTCCTCCTCGACTTCTTCGTCGAGGCGAAGTGCAGCTCCAGAAATATTGAGTTGCATGCACCGACCAGTCTGTTACGAGAGAGGAGACGGCGAGAGAACGGCGAAACGATGAGACTTGCCAAGGCCTGGCTTGAGGGCACGGGAACACCGTGGACGTTGAACGACGTGCTGTACCACGGCGAGGATGTCATGGCGGAGATGGAGCGGAGCCGGCGGTGGATGCACGCCGGCGAGGAGGAGCGCGAGGCCGGCGTGGTGGTGGCGGCCATGGCGATGGACGAGCTGTTGCACGAGCTGGTGAGTGACCTGATTGCGTTGCCGAAGTAGTTCTTTGTTTGGATGTCAAAGTTGTCAAATCGAGTGTAATGTAAACGTGAGATAGAACAGATTCAGTGAAGGTTGATATAGGGGGGTAGTGAGTTAGGGGCAGTGGAATAAAGCAGATGCATCTGTATATAGTTTTGTCAGAGTGGCAATGGAAACAAGAAGATTACTGTTCTGTTTGGATGTAAATGTACACTCTACAGGTCATCAACCTAAGGCCAATTAGACTGCACTTAACCCGGGTAACGAAATTCTCTTTTCAGCAGTCTTCATCGTGTCGGGTGTAAAGGGGAAAAGGCATTCATGAAATGTTCTCTTGGGTGACAGAGATATGAACAACATCCCCAAGGAAAAAGAGAAAAAAGCAAAGTAGGGACCAACAAAGCACAAGCATCACATGCTTTCATGAACCAGAATTATTATTATGCCACAGATCACAATGATACATTCAGAAAGCTTCGAATCTACGTTCCTCTGTTACATTACCACAGCTACAAGCATACCGTGTTACACTGTCGGGATTACAAGAAAATGAATATAAAGTGACTAGTCACACCCTAAGCATTAACCCTAAACCTCTGAGCTGAGGCAAAAAGGGATGGAAAAAAACATAATTCACAAGCTGCCTAGAAAGAACATGAACGATCAAATTTTTACAAGGTAAGACTGAATCTCGAGCATAAGATTTCACATAGGCTCAAATCCTTGTGCTATTCACTTGTGCTGAACACTACCTTGTTTTCTTGATGATTGTTGAAGTGCGCATCTCAGCGTCTTCCTTGGCAAATTTCCACCAGAGATATGTGAGGGGAATAGAAATAGCAACACAAAATACACGGCCATCAACATATCCCCAACGTGGTGGTATGTCATAGGTTTCCAAGACTATTGAGAATACGTTTCCAATAATGACAAACAAGATCTTAAAACATGAAGGATGTTTTGTCATGACAGCCCATACTGCCCATAGGAGGAACTGAGCAAGGCTAGCAGCAGTGCAAACCTTTGTGTTTAGGCCTGCAAAAGAAAAGAAAAAAAAAAGGAACCATCAGCATACATAGATGTAAACTTTCTAAAAGGTTACGCAATATCATTTTAACACATACCTACTGAAATATTGACACACAAATATTTTCTAACAGTTAGGTAGATCCTCAATAGTTTATTACATAATCTGAGTGTAGAAATGTAGAGTGCAGGTTCGACATTAGTACAGTAACAGGTTTAAATAGAGCAACATGATACCTACTCAGAACTTCACTACTGCTTAAGTTTTACAAGCAATACTAGTCACTACTACAAAATATACAGATCGATTGGCAAGACAGTATTTCAATTATCTGCAGGAAGTCATGACTCAGGAATGATGCATTCATCATGAAAAACCTATAATAAGTAAAATGGTTTCAAAAGTTCAATATCATGTCCAGCTAAAATTTACCTTTATCAAGTTCATAGAAATTGAGATACAAAATATGAGTTGTTGTGAATGCCAGAATTGGAGCTGCCACCATCACTCTGGAAGCTTCATCCTTCAGATTTAGAGTTCGCAATATTGCCAAGATAAGGGAGTACCCAATAAAAGCAGCAAATGATGAATAATACAACTTTTCTGTCCAAACTGTATCACTGCAAGCAATGGAAGAATCAAGTTCAACTAATTATGATCAAACACATATACTGGAATCATACTTTTCATCAATGTATTGGGCTTACCAACTGTGATAGATGGCACGCCAAAACCATGCATTCATGGCCAGAAGACCATAAATGTGCCATAGGCCAGTGTATTCATAGTATGTCATTTGAGTTTCAGGCCTAAGAGGCAGCTTGTAAGAAAGCAGGAGGAAAAAAGATAGCCACCCATTAAATTGTACAAGGAGAGAGAGCGCGGAAAGAGCAGCAGAAATAGGCTCCTGCAAGAAGGGAAAAAAAAAAGCAATTAGTGATAGGTGAAGGACACAAGGTAGAACTGAAAAAGGAATGCCTAGACAGATCAAGTTTATAAAAAAGCTAAGCAATTAATTAGTACATGATTGATTGATTACCTGAAACACAGATGCACGCTTCATAGGCCATTTGCCATGATACTTAACTGACCCTAATCCAAGTTGCTCCCTTTCACTTTCCCTCTCCATCATACAGTGGTATCTGCATTCACTCTTGCAGTTCCATTCTTTCCACTGCAAGTACAATGGTTCATGTGCGTACCATGATTTATCAGCAGGATGGTCATCAGTTGGAACTTGGCAGTGCCTCACGGAGGTCTCTCGGAGGGAACCCGTCTTTTCGCATTCGTCAACACAGGCTCTGTACAAGTTGGGGACAAATCAGGCAGTTAGCTTGTCATTGCTCATCAGTTCAACCTTCAACATCCCAACATGTTTATAGAACAGAGAACTAAACAGTTTTTTTATGTACGGATTCAAATACTAAGGTTGTATGTATAAATCACAGGACTTCATCAGGAGGTCACATCTCCCAGCTTTGGTCATGAAATACCCTACAAAGCTTTGTTTCTCACGCATGATCATGGATATAGGTTAGATAATCAAAAGAGCACACACACATTGGGAGTTACTTCTAAAAAGTTTAGCTTCCTTGGTGCAATCTCTTCATAAGAAATCAATGACCAAAATACCAGTATTCAGGGGGGCGAATCATGCTTTGAGGCCAAACCAAATCTTGCGCTCTACAGCCAACGAGCACCAGGTGTTCGAGCAAATGCCTAAGAACGACTACCGCCACACACCCTCGCTGATTCCATTGCACACGCAATCAGCTCCTCGAACCAAACGTAAAACACACACACACCCCCACAAGCCTCGCCAAATCACCAAATCTTTGAAGAGATGTCGCAACACTGGACAAAGAATCCACGGAGTCACGAGCCCTACATACCTGTAGAGCGGATCGGCGTCGCCCTCGGACGCACCCAACGTCGCCACCACGGCCGCTGCCGCGAGGCCGACAAGCAGCGCCACCCAGCGCGCCCGGCCAATCCCCATCACCTCCCCCTCCCCTCCCCCCCTCCGCCCCCCAAACTCAGGTAGACCTACACGGGCAGTGGCGGGAGGAGCTCGACGAGGAGGAGGAGATCCGAGTCCGGGAGCAGAATCCGGAAGGAGCGATCGAATCGCGCGCGGCGCGGGGGTTCGTCGTGGGCGGCCACCACCGGGGAGCAAATCGACAGGGGAGGGGGGAGGAGGGGATCGCGAGCCAACGCGGCGTGGGATTTTTTTTTTCTCTTCTTCTCTTCTTTTTTTGCTCCTCTTTTTTTTGGTTTTTGGGGGCTATGGGGATGTGTGCGCCTGTTTGTGTGTCTGGGTTTGTTTTTGTGCGCCGCGAGGAGGCTCGTGGGAGGTGAGGAGGGTGAGCTGCTAAAAGGCCTAAAGATAAACAAAACGATCAGGGGCATTATTTTGTGTGGAGACTGGAGAGTTGGGGGGAAACAAGCAGAAAAGCACCCCAAATTTGCTTGAATTGGATCATTCGCTTGTACGGTTGTAGTACTACACTTAATTTTTTGTTTTGGGTAAATTATGTAAAAGTACATGTATTTTAGCCAAACTATTGCGACAGGCAAAACTACATCTTAAGTGGTGTATCGCAGAACTATATGTTTAGTTTTCAACTTTTTTTATAGAACTACATAGTACTGTAAAACTACATATTTAATAAAAAAATTTATCACAAACCTATATTGTTTATTAGGTTCAGCAAAACCATAGTGTTAAAGAATCTAAACTCTAACTTATGTTGTTTTGTCATAATTGGCAAATTTGTCATATTCCTCTATAAAAATATGTAATTGCATGATAAATTTATGTTAAATCTGTAGTTGCGTAGTAGTTCTGCTAGAGAATATGTGGTTTTATGAATTTTACTATTCTTTTTTGACTTGAAAATTATGATTTCTATCGAGTCTGTTCTTGACCCAAGCCTGTTCTTGTGAAGAATCCAATACTGTAGAGAGTGGTTTCATAGGGCAGACAACCAGGATAGGATGGCTAGAAAATGTAGAGAATTTAGGCAAGCCTAACTAGGACAGCGTATTTGTTGACGAAACACTATATTCAACCATTCTCAATAATTCAATGGGTTATTGGCAAGCTGAGAAATCAGCCAGGTTCATTATTGATTGATGATAGTACGCTGAGTTCATGGTTTGTACTTTATGATACAACATTCAAGCCAATGAAGGCTCATAGTACATTTGTAAGATAAAGAAAAGTTAATCCTAAACATCAGTTCAAAAATACATGCTTCTAGAACTCAAAGGAATAGATGCTAAACATCCATTTCCCATCTCTATCTCAATCGTGTAGAATCCCCCCTCCCCCTCATTGAATTTTAGAACTCACAGAATAGCCGCGAAACATCCATTTCATCTCTCTCTTAAAAATATAGAAGGAGCCAAGACTACCAAAGTACAGAATCATCAGATTGGTTGGCAATTGGCCCCATTGGCCATGATCTACTACTACTGCTACTTTAGCCAAAAGTTTTGACACTGGTTACCTATATATCAGATCGGACGGCGACTGTTGCGCCCTATGTGCACCACCAAGTTGTCGCCCGCCGTCCGATCGATCTAGCCGGGGTGTCATTGCCGTTATTGCGAAGGTGGTAGTAGTAGTGGTGGTAGATCGGTTGATGAAAATGATTGGGTCATGTGTCACTTAATTGCTGACATTGAACTGAGATAATTGGATAAGTTTATGTTCATGTAACAGATCAACGTCAGCAGACCCATCAGGTCACCTTTTATTCTAGAGTTTTATCTAAATTTTTCCAGTAAAGATGCATCATTGGTAGTTTTAGCATTCGAACTTGATAACATTAACTATGTTGAGAAAGAAAGGGAAAGTTGATTAAAGGAATGTTTTGTCGCGATTGTCTAATGCACCTTAGTAAGTAGTTAGTAGTGGAGGAGTACTTGAGGGATCAATTGAAAAAATTACAAGATACTATTGTTATAGAAATGAAATTTAATGCTCACTAGTGATCAATGGGTCCCGAAGGCAAATTTGTCAGCTCTCTGACTTAAGAGTTTGGAAGTTTTTTGGAAGCCGTATGCGTGTCTCCGTACTGTATAGTCCCTAATTATTGCACTTGACATTTCCATTTGGTTTTAGTACGTCGTCACAGGGAAACGGTTGAGAAGGCACAATATATAATTCACTTTTCTGTTCGAGAAGAAGATATTGTGCTATTCACTTGGAATTCTTGTTTTTAGAGGCTGCAATTCTGATGAATGCCTGATGCAGCCCACCCAAAATAAATGGTGTGTCTCGGGCCTTCTTCTCTGATACGCCCCCTCCGTTGTGTTCATGTGGGCCTCCGGGTCATTGTAGTTTGCCAACCTGGCCCTGAATGAAATGTTAAACGCTACAAGCCCAGCACGATCACACACTAGGCTGACCGCTGGCCCAAACCATACCCGTTGCCAGTACAGAAAGTTAGAGTACCACTTGCTTGTGTCACGCGCGTTTTGCCTACCGGCCAGCGGAACGGTGTACGTACTCCGCCTCATAGAAACCAACATAGGGCATATCCTAGTATAAAAAGTAAAAAGATATATCTTGTTTAATCCTAAATTGATTTTTACGAGACTGATGGAGTATGTTGCTATCTATAAAGTCAAACGGATTCGCTATAATTCTACCCCTATATTATTTTACGAGTAAATTACATGGTTGATCCATAAATCTATTCATCCATGTTACTCAGATCCTTAACTCTTAAAGTATTTTTTTTAATATTCGAAAATATTAAAGTGTGTCATTCTAATCTATAATTACAACAATATCTCAGGGATCCTACGTGACATGCCACATGAACATTACAATAACAAATTTTCCTTTTTATTTTTTTTCTTCTCTACCTTTTCCTTTTTTTCATCTTTTTCTTTTCCACCATATATGAAACATGAATGAAAGAACGGAAGAAAGAGGAAGAAAAAGGAAAAAAAGGAGAAAGAGGCAATGGCCATGTGGCATGTCATGATCATGTCACCACATAAGATCCCGCAGGTGCCGTGGCAACTTAGGATCTAATGTCACATTTTAATTACCAAGTTCATGATGTAGAAATGTATTTGAAGAGTTTAGGACCTATATAATACGAGTGAGCAAGTCTAGGGCTTGGTCGTGCAGTTTACTGTTTTTTTATTAAAAAAATGTCACAATGTGTTTGAGATCCATATGCTACTGCCTCTAAGAAGAAAAAGAGTAAAGTGTGTTTCAAAGAGAAGGCTTACCAACTGAGCAACCAGACGTGTTGATTGTTTATCTTGACTTATATTAAAGGTACAATGTACCTATATTGTAATTATATTATAGTTACTACATTCATCCTTAAAAAAATGTAGGCGTGGGTATCCATGTCCAACATTTGATCGTCCGTCTTATTAAAAAAATAAAAAAAATTAATCACATAAAGTACCATTCATGTTTTATCATCTAACAACAACAAAAATAATACTAATAAAAAATTTTAAATAAGATTAATGGTCAAATATTACACATGAATAATGTAAAACTACACTTATTTTGGGACAGAGAGAGATTATATTCTAATTAACACCAATATGGTTTTGTAATTAACTTTCCTAGTGTACTTTTTTTACTCCATATTCCGTCTAAATTTTTTTACTCCATTTTTCGTTGAAAGATCTTTTTTAGATAATGACCTTTCGTTGAATGATATTTAGATATATAATGACATTTTTATATAAGTCGAAATTATTGTAGGCCATGTACTATGGTGAATAAATTGCGTTTTAAGCTCCGTGCTGTACCATACCGTCACTATGTCAACGGTGTCAGCAAACATTACACACCAAACCATACCTCTTCCCTTTTCTCATCAGAAATTTCCCATTCGCGAAAAGGAAGATATAGGAAGACAGAGAGGGATACATACACCCTGACTAACAATCGACCATGCGTTGTATGATATGATACAAAAGGTGACAAATGACAAAAGATATCATATATGACATAATTAAAAGAATCATACATAGGCGTTGTACGTGCCTCCGGCCTAACCCACTATCTCCCCCCTCTCATCAGTCATCACCCTCCCCCATCCTTTCCTTTCCATTTTCACGCTGCATGGAGAGCAAATGGTGCACGACAGCAACATCTATCGATCACCCGCGCGCGGAACGTTCATACACTGGCAAAAAAGTGCAAAAGCGATTCCGATTTCCGAATTCCGAAAGCCGCCCAAGCATATGCGTTGCGTGCGTACGAGTTTAATAGTATAGCCAACTGCTGACTTTAAATCATTTATAATTAACTTAATAGTCAATTTATATAATATTTACCTATAAACATATTCTACACAATTAATATCTAATCTCACATGTTATACGCACTTGTATCTTAGAATTCGTGCTACAGCTGACTATAAATATATAGCCCGCTGCTCTTCTTTTTTTTTTTATTTACTCGAAATCAAAATGTGTTTATAGTTGGTTTATAGTCTGTTATTTATCTGCTCTACGCACGCACGTACTCCTCCATCGATCGTGCAGATCAAAAGCGCAAATATCGATCGATACATTCCATCATCCGCATGCATGGATGAAACGACTTTGCCGGCCGCCGCCCCGGGGTCGTCGTCGTCGTTGTCGCGCACCCGTGCCATGGCGTGCCACTCCCCGCCCATGCGGGCGCATGCGCGCGCGCGCGCTCGGTGGATCGGAGGTCGCCGACGCGAGACGAGATATGGCATGCGCGAGGGGGGCCTCGGTGCCTCGGTCCAAATCAAGCGGAAAGACGAGACGTGATCGTTGCACTGCCACGCGTACGTACGTGGAAGGGCGCGCGCGGGCGGGCGCGCGACACCTGCCCGACTGCAGGTGGGCGGGTGGCCGTGTCGTTGACGCAGGTGGCAGGCGGGCGGATGTGCGAATCGAGCCGGGAACTCGGTACGTGGCGCGGCCGCGCGCATGTCGGTACAGTACAGTACAACTCGTGTAGTACATGTGCGCTGCACGGCGTCACAGGATTTTACTGGCGATCTGACGGGCGCACCGTGCTGCTTGGAGTTTAGGCCTGGGAGCTTCAGGCAGCTGTAATTTTTTTTTCAGAATCAGAAACTCTTTCAATGATTTAGTTTTTCATTTTAAATATAGAAAATTATAGTTATGAAATCTATAAAATGAATCAAAAAGCAAGCTTTTCAGAGAAAATTGCTAATTAGGTGTTTTTCAGAATTATCTGGGTTTGGAGCTGAGACGGAGGCAACAACTTACTGCCAATTGTAGTAATTTTTTCGTCCGATGGGTACAAAAGTGGCAGTAAACTAGTTCGTCGTCCAGCTCACGGATGTTCACATGATCCCAAACGCGAAGATTTAGAAGGCGGGCTAGTGACCGTGAGCAATAACAAAATCACACCACTACGTCGCCCTTGTTTCCATGGCCACAAAGGACAGCACCAGCTCACAAAAAAGAAGCTGCTTTGTAGGACTTTTTGGGCATCGATCGTGCCAATTCTGCTCCTGCCTGTTGAGATAAACTACCATCTTCAAGGGCTTTTTCTCCTCGACGACAACGAGTTTAGGTTCACGAATGTTTGGATGACATGGAATCACGTTGCGTGATTGCGTTGCTGTTGCGTCTGTGTGTGTGCGCGTTGCGGCGCTTTCCGTCGACGCACTCGCAACCAATCGGGAGCATGTGTGCGCTTCGTTGAATCGGTTGTCGTTGTGAGGTGTCTGTACTGGTGCAGTGTACTGCTGCTGCTCTGTCTTCCGCTGTTACACGTTTAAAGATCTTTCCAAAGGTAAAGGTAATCACCAGATCACAAATGCGGATTATTGCACGTGAGCCAGGTAATTCAATTACCTAATGCCATGTTTTTATGCCCTTGTCCTGTGTATGTCAAATGATGCATATGTTTACTTGTGGACCATGATAGATACTTTTTCTGGATAATTTGAACCGATGAAAGATACTATCCTGATTCCTGAATACACCTGTACGTATAAAAATTAAGATACTTCTAGTAGTATATAACAAGATGGCAGCAACAGATACGCTGAACCCATAACTCACCAATCAATTCTCTGCACCAGAAATCATCAACTATTCATCAGGTTTTAAAAATGTCAAAGAAGAAAAAAAATACAATTTCTGTCAGGCCTCAGCACTCATCAGTGAGCACTTATAGCACACAGCAACACATCAGCATCCATTTCTCCAGTTGATCCTCTCCCCCATGCCAAGTGCTAACACCGGAGCCATCTCTCTGAATCTCACCTGCTTCCATGTCTCACCCTATATAAACCACCCCTACTCTCTACCCGGCTACTCAAGCACCAACCAAAACCAAAGCAGAGAAGAGGCAAGAACAACTAGCTGCATGGCAATGGCGGGAGAGAGTAGGAGGAGGAGGAGGGCGGCGGCGGAGGCGGTGGCGTGGTGCTTGGCGCTGGGCGTGGTGGCGCTGCTGCTGGTGGGGTCGGTGGAGAAGGAGGAGGAGGTGGTGGTGGTGCGCGGGGCGCGGCTGGCGGCGGCGCGGCCGTGCGAGGAGATATACGTGGTGGAGGAAGGGGAGACGCTGCACAGCATCAGCGACAGGTGCGGCGACCCGTACATCCTGGAGCAGAACCCGCACGTCCACGACCCCGACGACGTCTTCCCCGGCCTCGTCATCAAGATCACGCCGCGCCCCGGCCGCCGCAACTGAACTGAACTTGCTGATCGATCAACGCGTTGATCTATCTCTGATCGATCGAGAGATCGATCAACCTGTACAGTGGACACCGATCGACGCGAATGTATGGCGGAATGCAGAGATGGTTCTTGTTTGTTTGTGTTTTTTCTTGCTTTGAAGTTTGAAAGATTCTGACCAAAGAAGGGCGCCGTATCCGGGAGTTTGTTTCGTCGTCGTTTGCTTCGTTTGACGATGATGAACCAGAACCACACGTACTGGAACAGAGGACGCTGCGAGTGGCTACTGGCTAGTAAGTGGCTAGTAGTGTAGTGGTAGTAGTTAGGCAGGCAACCTTGCCTGGTGTGTGTGTGCTTTGTTCATTCCGTTATACTAGAGGCTAGTTGTCAGTTGGTTACCTGAAGTGAACTGATGCAGTGGTTGGTAAAAGAAAAAACTGAGACTGATGTTTGTTAGATGCGTAAGCAAGCTTGCCGTAATTGTGGCGTGTTGATAAAAGTGCGGCTAAGAAATAGTTAAGTGTAATATAGTTAAGCTTTCAATTGAAGAATTTACCATTTGTCACTCTACCAAAATACTAGTGCTCAAATGCCACTCTCCCAAATATTCATTCCTAAATGTCACCCGGACCTCACCACTTATGTTTGAATGAAAAGTGAGGCTGACATGTGCGTTCGGATGGCATTTGGGAATGAAAATTTAGGAGAGTGGTATTTGAGTGCTATCATTTTGGTAGTTGCAAATAGTAAATTCTCCCCCTATTTTCTATGACACTAAACTCAGCCCAATACTATAAATTGGACTAAAATATATTTTGAAACGGAGGTAGTAGTATAACATATACTATGTCCTAAGGCTAAAAAGGTGTGGGGGCGAAGCAAACATTTACCTAGAAAACTACGCCATAATCAAAATGTGGCATTACAAAGTGAAGCAACTAACCAAATAACCCCAAGTAATATTAGTAAGAAAATCCCCCACCAGATTTTTCAAATTCTCAATCGCAAGATCTGTCATCTAAAATCTACATTTTATCTCCACCCTCCAATACAAACAAATAGTCAAGCCCTAGCCACCACTTCCACATCGCTCCTCCTAACCTCACCCTGTGCTACGCTGAACCAATCATGCCCTCTGCACCACCACCATTTAGCCTCAATGGCATCTCCCTCAACGCTGGTGATGCTCGCCGACAAGCACCTCCATCGCCATCCCTATTGCCATCATCCTCCTTGAGATGGCTTCTCATGTGCCATCACCATTTCTTATGTCCTTACGCTGTTGTCTTCCTCGTCTCTAATGGTCTTGTCGCTGAATTCATGACCACCACCACCTAACCAATCTAGCGAGGTGCCTGACCCTATTCTCATCTTCCGTCTCGAGCAACTCACCATCACCTAATTACATGATCGGGATTCTCTCGCCATAACCACTATCCATTGTCCTCGTAGCTACGACGGCGTCACTGTCATCTCGTTGCCTTCCCAATGCCACCGTCCACCATCAGGCCGCTATCTCCTTAGCCTCACTCTAAGCGGAGGAACCTATGCTCTCTCTAACTGGTCAGACCACTGTCAATGTCTCTGGACATAATCAACATTGTTGGAGAGGCAGAGAGCAGAAATTGTGAGGTAGATATAAAGGTTAGATATTTGTAAGATTTTCCTCTTAATTTTCAATCGAATGTGGTTTAGGGAAATGGATATTTTTTTTACTAGACTGGCGTATAGCAATCCGAAGACGAAGAAAGAAGGAGGAGGAGTAAAACACAAAAAAAGAAACCAACCGTCTTAAAACTTACAACTTTACCATTGGGCAATACAACTGCAATGGGCCAAGAAGTTAATTTAAAGTTAAGAGCAAATTCATTTGGACCACCTTTTGTTACAGATGCTTCACTTTGGACCACATACCACCCATCTCTCTTCTCGAGCATGAACAATCTCGATTACATTGGCTCCTACTCATCAATAAACTCTCACATATATATGTAAAACCATTCATCGGTATATGACAAGTTATATATGGATAAAAGAGTTGAGGATGGGTAAGAATAATAACCGGTATAAAGTGAGAACATTGATAAACATCGCTAATAAAAGTTCGTCTATAGTAAAATTTACTCTAAAATTAAATCACCTAATATTTTAATATTTTTTTGTACAAATGGACCGTTTCAATGGGGCTTTATCAGATTTAGTTGAGATGCATACATGGTAAGCACCGTCATAATCTTGCCCAAGAGCTGACCCAACTCATTAAAATTACGCTTCTTTTACGACTTAATAAATCAAGAAGAAACCATTGAAATCCAGCCTGCCCCGACTGTCTCGTAACAGAAAAATAACTCAGCAACGACTAAATTATGATTTTAAAATGGCAAAAATATCAAAGCACGTTCGAAACAATCGCAAGATTGGCAAGTAAACTCTCCTGCTTGCTTGCTCACAACCACATCAGATCATTGATCAATGTTTCATCAGCTCATCACTTCTGCATGCATGTTATATTCTTCTCAGGGCTCCACAATTTACAAAGCTGCTCGAAGATCTTCTTTGCAGTGCAAAGCAATCTGCAAGATTATTCAAGACATCTACTCTTGATCTACCATTGAGCTAACTCCGGATATATAAACAGACCGAACGTTTCGTCCCAGGGGAATGTGAAAGTTAGCGAATTTGCCCGGCGAAAATGGCAGCACTTGGCCGCGCGAGCTCGTCGGCGCCGGTGCTTGCCGCCGCCGCCGCCGTGCTCCTCTCGCTCTGCCTCGCCGCGCTCTCGGAAGAGCAAGGTGCGTAAACGTTGCGTTGTATCTTTGCGTTGATGCGTGTTGCGTCGTCGTCGTGTTCATGGCGTGCGATGGCGTTGTGCAGAGCAACTGGAGAACCTGCGGTTCGTGCGGCACGCGCAGGACGCGCCGCTGGTGTCGAGCTACAACTACATCGTCATCGGCGGCGGCACGGCGGGGTGCCCGCTGGCGGCGACGCTGTCGGAGCACTCGCGCGTGCTGCTGCTGGAGCGCGGCGGCCTGCCGTACGCCAACATGTCGAGCGAGCAGCACTTCACGGACGCGCTGGCCGACACGTCGCCGGCGTCGCCGGCGCAGCGGTTCATCTCGGAGGACGGCGTGGTGAACGCCCGGGCGCGGGTGCTCGGCGGCGGGAGCTGCCTCAACGCCGGGTTCTACACGCGGGCGAGCAACGAGTACGTGCGCGCCTCCGGGTGGGACGCGCGGCTGGTGAACTCGTCGTACCGGTGGGTGGAGCGCTCGCTGGTGTTCCGCCCCGACGTGCCGCCGTGGCAGGCGGCGCTCCGCGACGCGCTGCTCGAGGTCGGCGTCACGCCCGACAACGGCTTCACCTTCGACCACGTCACCGGCACCAAGATCGGCGGCACCATCTTCGACAACTCCGGCCAGCGCCACACCGCCGCCGACTTCCTCCGCCACGCCCGCCCCCGCGGCCTCACCGTCCTCCTCTACGCCACCGTCTCCCGTATCCTCTTCAAAAGCCAAGGTACACAGCTACGATGAAAATGGAAAATGTGCTGTGCGCCGAAGAAGCTTGACCTCACGACGGCGAGCTTTTGCCATGGCGTGCAGACGGGGTGCCGTACCCGGTGGCGTACGGGGTGGTGTTCTCGGACCCGCTGGGGGTGCAGCACCGGGTGTACCTCCGCGACGGCGACAAGAACGAGGTGATCGTGTCGGCGGGGACGCTGGGGAGCCCGCAGCTGCTGATGCTGAGCGGCGTCGGGCCGCAGGCGCACCTGGAGGCGCACGGCATCGAGGTGATCGTGGACCAACCCATGGTCGGGCAGGGCGTCGCCGACAACCCGATGAACTCGGTGTTCATCCCGTCGCCGGTGCCGGTGGAGCTCTCCCTGGTGCAGGTCGTCGGCATCACCCGCTCCGGCAGCTTCATCGAGGGGGTGAGCGGGTCGGAGTTCGGCATGCCGGTGTCGGACGGCGCGCTCCGGTGGGCGCGCAGCTTCGGGATGCTGTCGCCGCAGACGGGGCAGCTCGGCACGCTGCCGCCGAAGCAGAGGACGCCGGAGGCGCTGCAGCGGGCGGCGGAGGCGATGATGCGGCTGGACAGGAGGGCGTTCCGGGGAGGCTTCATCCTGGAGAAGATCCTCGGGCCGGTGTCCTCCGGCCACGTCGAGCTGCGAACCACCGACCCGAGGGCGAACCCGTCGGTGACGTTCAACTACTTCCGCGAGGCAGAGGATCTGGAGCGGTGCGTCCATGGCATCGAGACGATCGAGCGGGTGATCCAGTCGCGGGCCTTCTCCAACTTCACCTACGCCAACGCCTCCGTCGAGTCCATCTTCACCGATTCCGCCAACTTCCCCGTCAACCTGCTGCCGCGCCATGTCAACGACTCGCGCTCGCCGGAGCAGTACTGCATGGACACCGTCATGACCATCTGGCACTACCACGGCGGCTGCCATGTCGGCGCCGTCGTCGACGACGATTACCGGGTGTTCGGGGTGCAGGGGCTCAGGGTGATCGACAGCTCCACCTTCAAGTACTCCCCCGGCACCAACCCTCAGGCCACCGTCATGATGCTCGGCAGGTAACTGGCATCATTTTAGCTCATGAAAGTGCATTGCCATGAGTAACAACACACTAACAGTATAGTTTTCAATATGGACACTGGGCAGGTATATGGGTGTGAAGATTCAGTCCGAGAGATGGAAGAAATGATGAACAAAAGATAATTTCGTTTCAGGAGCAAAAAAATGCATGTAATTCAAGGAAAAGAAAATGTTCAACTGTCTTTAGAGTTTAGAGTAGATTTTATTTGCACCCACTTAATTTTTACTCTTCTCTAGACATAGGTTCAGTATCTGCTTGTTGATTATGTAACCTTGAAGAAGCATTGCAAAAACAAAGCGGAAACTTATGTTACCAAGGGCATGACGAAGAAATAAATGGATTAGATTTCATTGACACTTAGAAAATGGAACCAGCAAATCAAGGCTGAAAATAATTACACTAGAAACTTATTTTAATGGCTTTACATGTCGCTACATACTTAAATCAATCAAAGTTGCTACCAAAGCCATGTTCCCTAAACAGAGGGTTCCGGGCTTTCAAACATTCTTAATCTTCTATACATTGATAAAAAGTATACATAAAAAGAAAACCTATTAAGATGGAAATGTTGAATTCTCTTAAGAAAGGCATAAAAAATGCAGGGTAATAACCTTTTCTTGTCATGTCCTACTTGGTTTCAACCTATATTGCTAGCAAAATTTTCACGCTATCTATAACCTCAGGAAGCAGAATAGCTCAGAATCACTAGCAATTGTATACTTACAGATAATCGAAATTCATATTGTGAGGTTTTCTTGGATGGCTCGGAATGATCCACAGATGTTACCACCCATGTCTGGGAATGACGTACATCCTGGCAAGGGTTTCACCTTGCCCTTACGGTCAACACTTACAGGGTACTTCATTAGGTGGCCTCTCATCTCAGTCACCTCATTATCAACAAATCGTTCCCAGTTCTGTTCACCGATTTGGCGAACTCGTCTCATGCATTCCATGGTCTCTGGATAGTTGAAGCCTTCCTCAACCACTCCAATATGCTCCGCCCAAAGAGACATTCTGTACCCATAAATCTACACATGAAATCAGCAGATTTGAATTAGAGTGTGGTTCTAGAAATATCAGTCATCCTAAAATAGGTATATCCCTCAAACCAAGAGACAACTAGTCGAGATTCCTTCACAGTTGTACAGGGCTATTTGAAATATGACTGTACTTGATATGCAACTTTTTCTCTATTTCTACAAATACATTTGTATTTTCCATACATTTGTAGCTACAATCTGGTCCCACCATGATGGATGGTGTAGATAGCTCTCTTTTTCTTCAATTAACATATTCTTGAGAATGAATGGTAGCTTCTCTTTTTTTCTTCCAATTAACATATTCTTAAGAGTGAGTGGTAGCTTTTTTTAGCCTTATCTAAAAAAATATGATTGATAGGGTACGAATTTCCCTTTAGGTTACTCTGCCAAAACAAAAGATAATTGCAACAAATATATATGGCTGGATTGATGCAGTAGTGCTGAACAACAGACAATAACAGTGTAAAGCAAACGAGTTGCAAATGTACAATCACTGAAGGCGCAATGTTTAATATATGAGCATATGATGCCAGCTCGGTTCTCTGTAGATCTCCAGAAATGTGATACAGCCATACAGGCATGAAGTGTTGTTACCTGTCCACGGGGTGCAGAAACCTTACTTGCCCATGTATACTGTGGCTGATACGCACCCATCGCAATCTCAGTATCTCTGATACCTTCCATGGACCTCTGATTGATATTAGCTGATCCAATTATCACATATTCATCATCCACAATCATGCCTTTTGAATGTACATATACCATGAATCTTCTATGTTTCCTAGCTTGTTCCTGGGTAGTAAATGTAGAATAAATGAACGAGGTTGCATGCAGGCAGTTTTCATGCAAGTCAGATGTTAAAAAAATAACAAAGTTCAGCGAGATTGCTAGCAAGCATATCATACATATTAATATATCCTGTAATTTTGATAAATCAAAAGTTAAATACTATACACAGTGCTCCAACAAGATGAAACATTATTGTAGAACATCTAGACAATTGAGCCAAATCATTCTAACCGATCGAATGTTTTCTTCTAAATAAAAGGCACAAGTGTACAAAACCAGAATTTCCATGTATCATCTGATAAAGAAACTAAAGTGGATTGGATATTTGGCCTCCATGTAGGATCAGAGAACAAGACTTGATATCAATATCCTTTAAGAACCAGTGTAATATGGCAAGTCAGAGCAAAATTTATCTTCAGAGGTCGGCAAGATCAGCAGCTTTCACATTCTCGTATGACGCAGGCTTAAGGGACCATATTGTGACTTTTGTTGAAATTCAATGTGACATTAATTACTGTATTTAATACTATAAATGAAAAAAAAAAGCATTTAACCTTGCAGGGAAAACTAAAACCAATGGAGGGTCCTCAGCATAGTTTGTCAAAGGAAAAAACAAGACGTCTTACCTGAGGAGTGCTTGTTGAGTTTGAAGTGCTTGGACTGTCAGCAACTTCACGATTGCCAAGACAAAAGAAGTTCAGATAATCCTGAGGCTCATATAGATCATCTAGACCCTCTTCTTTCAGGGCCCTATATATTGTTTCGTACATCATTTGCATTGTCTTGTGCTACAGGAGCAACAAAAAAAACATGCGATCATGTCAAATGAACTAACTGGGTATAATCTATATAAACATTAAACAAGACACAAAGCAGACATGTTGATCTAACCTGCCAGTAAAGAATTCTTTGTGTAGGAGCACCTGTTGGATTACCCTCAGGCCACATGGGAATTACTATATATGCAGAGAATCTCTCTTTTGCCTTTATCTTGTTTGCAATTTTGAGAGCAATTTCGATTGGTATTAAATTATTAGCCCCTGAAAACTCACAATTTGAATACCAATTTAGGATCAGATAAGGGATTTGCTGTGTTCTGAATTGCTGAAATGGTTTGCAAATCAAGAAAATGTAATGTGCACTGTATTTTGTTTCTGGATTTTTTTTATTGGTGGGTGCACATTAATTAAAAAAATAACTTTACACCATATGCTTACCAATATCTTTGTTTGAATCCCAATTAAACGAAGATCCAATGAAATACTGGTTCTCAATATAAATGAAGTGCTGCGCTCCACGAATAGCATTGACATATGCAGTATGTATGCTCATATCAATCAGTACATTCTTCCCACAAACAAGATTCTGCTAGGCAAAGCAAGGTGTTAGCGAAAAGCACATAATAATGAATATAATATTAGTACATGCAAACAGTACTCAATTACCTTGCGGGTTGCTTCCCGTGGATCCTTTGGAAATCCTTTGGCAGAATTTGAATCAATAGAACGAAACACCTAGGTTTCAAAGCAAATAAAGTTTAAGTAGAAAGTTAAAACAAGGAAAAACTTACACACACTGACTACAAGATACTATAAATACCTGAACATGCCACGTCTCTGGATCATTGTCACTAAAATATATTGCGTCATTAATGCTTATAAAATCAGGTATTCTTTCAATACTGAGGAGGGCATCATCATATGATTTTCCTAACTTTTTAATCCCATGGCGTTTGGATGCCTTTAACCAACGCTCCTGAAAATTTTGCAAAACATCATATGCCGCTGGACCATCAATCTTGGAATGCAAGTCGTGCCATGGTTCCCTTGGGCCACGAGCATCAACTGTCTGCAGAAAAAAAAAAGCAGAGAGAGAAAGAAACTTTCAGGAACCAAAGATAAGAGAAAGATGGAACAGCTTTCTGTCGAAAGATATTCCATGGTTAGGAACTAAATATTAGATACGTTTCTTACTATCATCATCTCAAAAGCAAGAAGTTAATTGTAGCTTTACATCAGAAACCACATCAAGATACAAGTATATGTTAAAGGAATCAAACACTTACAGCAAAATTTGGATTGTAATAATCCTCCTTGTGCACAGTCTGAAGAGACCTAAATAGAGGATGGCTAGGTGTATCATATCGCCCACCGCATAAATCGAGGCCACCAACAAAAGCAATTATTTTCCTCTTATGATTGCCAGCATCAGCATCCAAAATAACTGTTTTCTGATGATGAGTAAAAATGGTTCCTGTTTCCTGAATTTCAATACCATCATATGATAAATACATGGTACTAAAAGAATTAATACAATACAAGATTGCTTGATAAATGCCATTATACAAAAGAATCCAACAACAAATATATGTGTGCATTATGTGAATATCAAATTTCTCTTCCTGATCAGGTATAAGGAACAGCGATTGTGAAGTACAGCATAACTTCCAAGCATGAAGAGTAGACATATAAAAAGTTTGAAACCACTCACTTGGTGCAATCAATTGTAGTAATTTAGGTGACAAACAAAAATGGAATATCATAATGGATAAGTTTGTGTGGCATCACAATACCTGCTGTTTCACCCAGCTGTGCCGTTTCCCAGCAGATCGTGGGCAAAGCAATACTTGAACTGAAGAGTGCTTGAAAAATCTGCGGGTCTCCTCATCTCGTGTGCCCATGAAACCATCCTACAAGTGGATAAGCAGCATAATCTACTTCAAACTTTCCAGCATCATGAAACATGGGACCAAAGATAAGGTACATGCACCTAAAGGACAAGCTACCAAACTATTACAGAAAAATTTGGAGGAAATAGATGAGCTTGATGAAGATCCTCTCAATGTTATATTGATGCAACCGGATGTTTTGTAAATTCTTTAATGTGATAACAGCAGTTGTAAAAATGCCCTTTCTGATGCCTTTTTGTATTTGTGTATTGAGGATTAGACAATCTTCAAGTGCCAATGTTTCCCAATTTTTCCATAAACATTGCAGCACTTCAATTTATAAATTTGCAGTTTGGAGTTTGGACACAAAATCATGTTCTCGTGTGCGGTGTAAAAGTCATGAACAAAGCAATTTTGAACTCAATGAATAACTCATACCGTCTTAATTCCAAGAATACTCCTTGATGTTGGATCGTCCCACACAAGAAGCAACACCCTCACCCCTTCCTGTGACTTCATCTTCAACAGTTCCCCAAGTGATGGCATCTTCTCAACTCCTTCCCTGATGAGGTGGATTGTGTGGAACACTGACCATCCCACAATGTAAATCAACCGCCGTGCTTGGCATATAGCATCGTAGATATCACGCCAACACTGCCCGTGCTGATAGCGCATTCCGTGATCAAGACAGAAATCCGGGAGACAACCATCAGGCACATGTGCGTCCTGATACAGTGTCACTCTATTGCCACGCCGCATCGGGAAGTAAGTATTAGGAACTCCCAGGCTATCTGGGCCGGCAATGACACCATGGTGATACATTTTGAGCTGAGCCACCGGGATGTACTGTATGGACAGCCGCAACACAGCACCTTGAGCGCATGGCTTCCCATTGGACTCAAGCACATCGTAGATGCCGTTAATCCTTTCTCCAAAAAGGAGCTTCTCAGCAGGAATCGACACTGTGCCTATGAGCTGAGCACCGAAGACATCATTGTCCTTGACAACGAACTCGACCTCGGCGGCATCATGCCCAACAGGGACAAGGAAATTCTGCGTCCAAACGGGGTTCTCATTGTTGGGAACGACGTAGGTGCGCGCGACGGTGGCATAGGAGACCTGGATGGTAACATAGGGGTCGCTGGTCATGTTGGCGCTGGACATTTTGCTGCCGACGGCGCCGATGAGGCGCGGACCGAGGAGGTCGCCGACCCTCTTGGAGAAGAGATCCTTGTTCGGGAGGTTCCGAGCGTCGTACACCCAGACGTCGAGGGTGCCGTGGAGCAGCACCACCTTCAGGGATGGCCTCACGCTGCCGTGCTGCGACCCTCCGGCCGGCGAGCCGTACGCCACCATCTGCATCCCACCGTGCTGCGACCCTCCGGCAGGAGGGCCGTACGGCACCATCTGCATCCCGCCACCGCCGTGGCTGCTCCCGCCGCCGGGGAACGACGCGGAAGGCGGGAGCACGGAGGGGGACGACGCCGCGGGCACGGCCGCCGGCGACGGCGGCGGCGGGTAGTCGTGGCGGTCGGAGACGTGCATGTTGGCGAGCCCATCCGCAATGGAGGGGTACGACGGCGCGGAGGGCGATGGCGATGGCGGTTCAGGGTGGTGGTGGAAGCTGGAGCTCGGGGAGATGGACGGGCTGGGGTTGGGGCTCGGGTAGGAAGGGTACGCCGCGGCGGGCGCGTGGTAAGGGTCGTAGACGTACGGCGAGGGCGGATGCGGCTGCGGCGGCGGGTAGGCATGGTGCTGCGGCGGCGGCGGGTAAGGCTGGAGCGGGGCGGAATGGTGCGCGTACGGCTGCGGCTGCGGCTGCGGCGGCGGCGCGGAGGGGTAACCGTGGAACGAACGGGACGGCGAGAGGTAGGCGGAGGGCGGCGGCGGCTGCTGCTGCGGTGGAGGATACTGGTATGGGTACTGCCCGTACGGGTAAGGATACTGCTGCGGCGGCGGGTAGGGGTACCCTCCCCCACCGTGGTTTCCGCCCTCCATCGCCGCCGGTCGGTCGCCGGAGCGCGGGGGTAGGGTCGTCTCGTCGCGGATTCCGATTCCGATTCCGATTCCCCTGGTTTGACCTCGCGCTCCCCTCTTCTATCTCCAATTGGGTTCCAAGGCGTGGGAGGCGTGAGGGTGAGACGAGGCGCGCGCTCGCCGCCCGCCGCGTCGTGGAGGGGTGGTGGTGGAGGAGGAGGAGGAGTCGTGGGCGGCGAGCACGACGGGGAGGAGGAAGAAGACCGGATCGCGGGAGGAGGAGGGAGAGAAACGATCGAGAAACGGTGGGTGAGGTCGCGGTCGCGGTCGCGACTCCGACTCGCGCCCGGTTGGAAGACGATCCACGGGCGGGCCGGCCAACCCGCACAACTGCACAAGGAAGGAAGGTTGGTGCCGTGCGGACGCTGACCGGTTTATAGTTCCGCGAGCGGACCGCCTCGTTCCTAACGTCGTGTGGGGCCCACGTGTCATCGTCACTGGGGAGAGGGGGGTGGGGGAGGAGAACGCGCGTTGCGTTGGTATAGCTGATGACGCGATTGGAGATTTCGTGACGGACAGTATTTGCTTAGCAGGAAATTATTTATTTTTTCTCTCTCTTTTTCTTTTTGAAAGACCGCAACTCATAATGTACTCTATTCAATTTATATTTTAAATCGTTTGACTTTTTATCTAATCAACTTTTTTTAAAATTTAATCAAATTTATAGAAAAATACATAATAATTTCAATATAAAACAAACATATTATCAAAATATATTCAATGAAACTAATTTGATATTTTATATGTTGATAATTTTTTTTATAAACTTAGTTTGGCTAGGAAATTGTTGAAAGACTTATCATATAAAACTGAAACGGAAGGAGTGTAAATATTATACTGAAAAAAGTAAATCTTCTTTTTTTGTCTTTTCTCATACATTCCGTAGGTGGGGTCAGTGTCACGTACGAAAAGGTCTCCATGGCTTTTTTTTCAATGCTCGAGTCTAATATGTGTTTTGAGCTTTCAATTGTAATTTTTACTTTTTGGTGGACTACTTCCTTCCCGACATCAAAAGAATATGCCACATTGGACATCTAATACGATTTCAAGATGCTACTTGACCGTTAATTCCTACTGCAGAACAATTTAAAACTAATCTAGTATAATACACATTTTCGAGTCGAATATGCATATATGGTTTCCATTGATCCAATTTAAACATTTTAAAATAAAAATATATAAACATTCAAAGTTATAATCTCAGCTTGGAACATTGTCCAAAACCATATTGATAGAATATTTTTTTTCTTCACAAAAACTGCTAGAGACACAGACACCATTTCGTGCAAACTGCTAGTTTCTCCCCATTATTGGATAGGGTGAATGGTTACTATACCAATTATACATTGACAAGGGCAAATATTTTAATGCATCTTTGAATAGCTGACGTCTCACCATTTCTTACAGGCTAAGCATCACGAGTGCCATGCCATGCCGCTAAGGTTCCTCGGATCAGTATGATAACTGAAACTTTCTGAATCCGCTGATGATCAGATCAGGGTGCTGCACTGATGCCCAACGGCCTGACGCCCTGACCAGAGCCAACCGTTTTTGCCACGCACACGCGCAAAACTCATTTCTTGATCACGCCATCAGCCACATGATCGTGGTCTCATGGGTGGGAAACGATCGCATTCGCTGTCTCTCTGGGTTCAGAAAGGAACAAACGTTCGAGTTTCGAGTTCGATCTGTGGATGGCTAATTGAATCCCGTGGAATTATTATACTGGTATCTATGATTCTGTCTCCGTTTTTGGCAGATGGATTCACATATATATACACTGAAACCGCGTAGTAGTATCTGCAATGACAGAAGATTAGGACGATTGGTATATCTGAATCTTCTCGTTCTCATCTTTTGCTTGGATCGTACTCAAGGATCCATACCTGACTGACTTCTTCCTTTCAAAAGCAATAGTCAGACAGAGTACCATTGGGCCAAGGTGGCGGAACGGCCTAGTTCGGCCCAACAAACCTTAGTACTATATTGGGCCCACTTTTCAGCCACATCAGCATACCGGCCCAATACATACGATGGCTTCAGAGCCCCAACCCAAACCATATAGTTTCCCTTCTCCCAATCTCCCCCACGAAGCGGATCAAATCGGTGGTGCCGGCCAATCTCCGGCGAGCCGTCAGCGACTGCGCGGCGAGCGATCTCCCTTCCACTGATAACCCTTTCCACTCGGTTTGATGACCTCCCTCTGTTGATCAATGCGACCTGGAACAATTTGTCTGCACTGCACGGTGCACACGATGATAGCTTGCGATAGCCGCCGAATCGGCAAGCTGGATCTGGGGTCCCCGGTCAGTATAATTGATGGCATTTTGGCATCTGTCATCAGCATCCGAAGGTTGCTTTGCCTGAATGCTTTCATCAAGCTTTTCTCCATGATCCTTGCTTGTAGAAGATAGTACTGTAGGATAGTAGCAGGAAGTACTACGATCTGGAATCTGATCCTTCCCCTTTTCAGTTTATCAATCTCTTTTGCTGATGTGTGTTGCTTGCTTTCAGCTAGACATGTACTCCATCTGGAATTCTTGAAGATCCGAATAGTAGCGGATGGAAAAATATCTGCTGCTTTTGTGAGGCCACCATGTTCGATGTTCTCATTAGTTCTGTTGCAAAACAAGGACTGCATCAATTTTTTTTTCGAACAGTTAGACCGTTGCCGATGTTTTATATTAAGATGGTGTCCCATTTTAAAAAGTAAACGGGACCAAACCTTACCGTGTGCAGTTTGATTGCTGAAAAAAACAAGGACTGCATCAAATTCATTGCTGAAAAAACAACAGTTTGATGTGGTCATTTGTTTTTTTTTTTTAGAAGTGGTCATTTGTTTTCATCGTGCCTCCTGGTTTCACTTGCAATATTCAGGATCTGGTTACATCAGCCATTCACAGTTATGCAGATCAGTTCATGACCACAGAGACGGATCAATGTGAGTTGATTCTTCCCGAAGACTTTGATCTTTTTCTTGTGGTCTCTGAATATTTGTGTGGTCTCAGGGGACTTGGAGGTCCCAGCAAATTGACTGCTCTGGTACCTTCAGAAACAGTAATTTGATTGTCTCAACTGACACGTTTGCAAGCCATTCCTGTTTCGGTAGTGACATCTCCCATCTTCTGAACAATGAAGATCCACCATGGCATTGCTTGCTGCAGACGAACTAGGATAATTTTCATTTGAAAGTAGGGTGGTTGAAACAACGGTTGCCTTCTTTTGAAGTCGGATAAAAATTCATGTCTTCACAAAAGTACAGTCATGAGGTGAGTGAATGGCATGAACATGTGCAGTTTTGAAGATTACAGTACAGCATAATACAGCACAATGACCAGTAATTTTAGATGGGAACTGCTCGTAATTACGGTACATGAACTTCAGATCTAAGTACTGAGTAAGCGTGACAGCAAGCGCAAGACAGGTTTGCAGAGGGCATGTGCAAAGGCAAACAAAAAGCAGATGATACATTTGGTACTACATGTACATACTTTAATGCTGACTACTACTGTTTAGCCTGACCTTTCGTCAAGACGCAACAATTGTTAACAGGCTGGAAATGGATGTGCAATAGGTTTGTCCTCCTACTACCAAACAAAAGCAGTTCTTCTGTAAGCAAAGCAGAGCAAACTGTACTCCCTGAAGCATCTAACCACCTGTTTCTTTGAATACTCCCTCCGTCCAAAAAAAAAAAAAGGCAAACCCTAAATTTACGTGTCTAACTTTGACTGTCCGTCTTATATGAAATTTTTTTATAATTCGTATTTTTATTGGTATTAGATGATAAAACATGATTAATATTTTGTGCGTGGCTTGTTTTTTTAATTTTTTTTATAATTGTTAAACATTGGGTACGGAAACCAGATTTGTCTTTTTTTTAGACGGAGAGAGTATGAATGAGCATTGACTCATCTATTAATGATAATCTCTGATGTATAGTTTCTGATGAATAAGATGGAAATTAATTAGTAGTACTCCAGTAGTAGCTGTCAAAGTTGACAGGATCGGCCAACTAGTCAAGGAGTGCTACATTCTTCACATCTTGACCAACAGAACACAGGTCAAACCAAGGTGATGGATCTTTATTGATCTTAGCTATTTACTGACATACTGTACATGCTGAAGTTGCAAAAAATTACTACGCGGCCGTGGCTGGGATGATGATGGGGCTCCTCACGATGTGTTCGTCCGAGACCCACTTCAGGTTGCCCTCGGCGCCGGCGACGTTCGGCTGGCCGGCCCACCGCACCGTCACGGTGAAGCTCTGCATCTCCTTCAGCTCCGTGAACCGAAGCATCGGCGGCTGCACGATCACGGACACGTCCTTGGGCATGTCGACGACGGCCGTGTACACGGAACTGGGCTTCCCGACGTTGGTCACCGTCCGGTTCACCGTGATCGGCTGCGCGAGCAGGTTGACGACGAGGGATGGGTAGTTGAGCTCTGCCTCGGTGATGGTCTTGACGTCGGAGCAGGTGACCGGCCGGTGGGCTATCTCCTTCACGCCGTCGTCTCCGATCCCCAGCCCGCAGAGGTAGGGGATGTAGTCGTCGGCGTGGAGGTCGTAGACTAGGCCGGGGTCGAACGCGAGCGCCGGGTTGACGTAGCCGGCGCCCATGGCGTAGAAGGTGGCGTGGCGGTATTGCTCGTCCTTGATGGGGACGCCGGTGCGGTCCACGGCGTCCGACGTCGTCATGATCGCCGACTTGATCGCCGCGGGGGACCAGTCCGGGTGGAGGCTCTTGAGGAGAGCGGCAATGCCGCTCAGGTGAGGCGTCGACATGGACGTGCCGGACTCGACGAAGAAGGAGAGGCCGACGCCGTCGGAGAACTCCGTGTGCGACTCGCTCGGCGCCCACGCGGCGAGGATGTTCATGCCGGGCCCGGTGATGTCCGGCTTCAGGATGCCCGGGCTGGCCTTGCTTGGCCCACGCGACGAGAAGAAGGTGACGGCCGGCGACGGGGACGAGCCAATCACCGTCCCCTTGAACGCGATGCTCGCCGTCGGGTTGTCCGTGGAGTTCACGTACGCCGCGATTTTGGTCCCGGCGTCGAAGCTGACGTGCGACGCCGGGAGCACGTGCGCGTCGGCGAAGGTGGTGTACCCCTCGGCTGCTCTGTTCATCACGATGATGCCGGCGCCGCCGTACGCCGCCACGGTCTGGCCGGCCTCGATGCGGCCGTTCAGGCCTCTGCTCTCGCAGAGCACCACCTTGCCGGTCACCTCGGCGTCGCGGAGCACGCTGCAGTCGCGGCTTGTGTCGGAGCCGTCTGCGCCGGGGTACACGAGCGGGAGCGGGTTCGCGGCGGAGTTGTTCCCCGGCTGGAACAGTGACTCGCCGTCGAATTCGTCGCCGTTACCGAGCCTCACGGTGGTGCGTATCGCGCGGTCCATGGTGCCGGCCGCGACGGTGAGCATCCACGGCGCGCCGTTGCCGACCGTGCCGGGGTCCGGGCCGGAGTTGCCCGCGGCGCAGCTGACGACGATGCCACGCTCCATGGCCTTGAACCCGGCGATGGCGATGGGGTCGTAGTTGAACTGCGTGCCGGAGGACGCGCCGATGGAGAATGACAGCACGTCGACGCCGTCCTTCACGGCGGCGTCCAGCCCGGCGATGATGTCCATGATGGAGCAGCGGCTGCGGGTGCACACCTTGTATATCGCGAGGTGCGCGTGCGGCGCCATCCCGGAGGCCGTGCCGTCGGCGTTGCCCCGGACATTGGCGTTCTCCACGAAGTTGCCCGCGGCCGTGCTGGCCGTGTGCGTGCCGTGCCCCGCGTCGTCCACCGGCGGCGCCGACGAGTTCACCGCGGCGCTCCCGAACGCGCGGGCGCCGATGATCTTGTTGTTGCATCCGCCGCCGGCGATCGCCTTGAACTCACACGTGCCCTTCCAGTTCTTGGGCGGCGGCTGGAGGCCGTCGTCGCCGAACGACGGGTGGCTGGGCAGGATCCCGGTGTCCAAGATCCCAATCACGACGCCGCGGCCAAACCCCGAGTGGCTCCAGAACGCCTCGTTCCCGAGGTGGAGCCCAAGGAACCCCGGCGAGCGCGTCGTCGCCAGCGGCAGGAACTCCTCGGGGTACAGCCTGAGGCACCCCGCCGTGGCCCTCACCGCCTCGGCCTCCTCGTCCGTGAGCCGCGCGGCGAACCCGGTGAACACGTCGCTGTAGGAGTACACAATGCGCGGGCCTCCGTCGGCGCCGTCGGAGTCGGAATCGAGCTTGGCCACCTGCGGCAGGAACGAGCGGTGCCACTCCTCGACGGAGGCGTCGCCAGCGGCGGCGGCGGCCTCGTCCCTCGGCTCGAGGTGCACGATGTAGTTCTTCCTCTCCTGCAGGTAACCCGCGGCGAGCAGCGGCGTGGACAGGAGGAGCACCACGGCGAGGCACCACCACCGCATCGACGACCACTCCATCGTGTGTACAATACAATGCCGGCGAGGAGAGGCAGCGCGAGGTTTTATAGGGTGCCACAGGGAGTAAGCTGAAAAGCTTCTCTGTTGCGGCGAGGCGAGACGTGGGGGGAGAGTGGAGTGATGGGGGAGCACTGGCAGTGAGCTGGAGGGCAGTGGCGTGGCGTCGTCGCGGGGGGGTTTGGGTTCGAAAGATGCGTAGCGCGCGTACCGGGGCCCGGATGGCTCCTGTGGCGTACGTACTCTCATGTGGACTGGCGATAGCTGGACCGGTCGGGATCGGGGTTCCTCCCTATTCCGGCGGGCGTGCGTGCGTACGTGCCCGTGTGCCGCTGCGACTGCGCTGGGTGGATCGGACGGAGATATTTTCGAGTGGGGGCTCACCTGTCAGTGGCTGGAGTGGTGGTGAGCCGGTGAGGCGGATTGGCGTCCATTTTTTTTTGAAAGCTAGCGGCGGTGGAGGTGTGTAGTGGAGTGAGACAAGGCGGGACGGCGCCATTCGGCCATTGTATATGGAGGAGGTGCCGAGGTGGTGGTGGTCAATGGTCGGTTGACCGGTTTGGGGCCCCGGGGTTTTGACGACGGACGTGTGAAGCCGCGTCAACAACTCAGGACGCTTTGACGAGAGCCACCGCCGCCCGCCGGTGCACAGGGGGCGTATGGATCACCAATCACCATCCATCATGCGAAACCGCAATTCATCACAAATTGCACGTAATACCCGTCATGCGTTTGAATTTGCCCCGGAGCAAAGCCGCATTTTGAACTTGCCATGGCGGGGAAGAGACCGAGGAATGAAGGAGATGAGACAAAACCCGGACATCCATCCCCAAACCAGATTCGGCCGGTCACTCGCTCGCGTCCAAAGGCAAACGCGGCGCTACTGGACATCAGTCCATCATCCTACTCGATCCACTGCTCTTTTTTTGGGTAGCCACTCCACCACAACCCAACCCAACCCCACGCTAGCTAGCTCGCATCTCTCTCCTCCTCGGCGAGCAAACGTACGTACACGAGCACATCGTCTTGTAGGATGCAGACACATTTGCTGCCCACGAGCTTGCAAACTTTGCAACCACGGCTCTCGAGAAGATTAATCTTTCTCTCTCTTTTTAATCAGCCCGGTTCCCGAGGATTAAACTACCACTCTCCAGTTAACCATAGTTCCTGTGGCGATGTTTGTTTGATGATTAAGCTAAGTGGGTTGTACTGCATTAGGCTATCCAGGACAGGTTGCTCGGTGACGGTGTGTATGGAGGAGGAGTATGTTTAGCCCGTGGCACAAGTATCCAAGAATCCAACGTGACGAACGGATGGATGGTAGTACTGTAGTACGTGCCTGCACCGCACCAGCACGGCCGTCGTGTCTGGTTGGTAGGCTCGAACGTACTCTAGCTCCTCCCGCCATTTTATATGTATCGGACACTTTTGCTCATGCATGATGCATGTCAGAGACGCACGGGTACCCATTTCTCTCGCTGAGAAAGGCGGTGTTCTTGTGCTATTAAGATAGTACTCCCTACGTGTCTTGATTCTTTCCTAAAATTTAAATCTTTTGGTTAAAGAAAGTACTTCCTAAATTTTAAAATAAATTAATTTAATATGTAATATAACATATTCTAGTACTGTGTCTCATGTTCATAATACTTTTGACAGAGGAAGTAAAATTTTACCTCCATTTTCATTAATATTTTTAAACTATTAAACGGTGTGTTTTACAAAACAACAATATAGAAGTTGTTTTAAAATATAAACGAAAATCCACTATTAAATTTATAATAATTAAAACTCAACTAAAATAATGACATTCTTGTTTTGCATAACCTAATTTCATCCTTATCTTTATTTTTTTAAAAAAAAATGAACATCACCACCTAAAGATGACCCCCTACATACTCCTTCCCGCACATGTTTCTAGCTTGATCTAACTAATAGCTACTGTTGCTAGTACTAAAATTATAAGTACCAAGTCAAGGCCTGGGCAAATCAGCTTGTTCCATGCATGGCCACCTTCTGTTTAGGTTTTCCTTGTTGTTCTAGTTTATTGTTCCACCAATCCACCGCATCTATGATATGGATGGCGACGGCTCGGATAAGCCCTGCCCGCGTCCTGCCTGACACGGCAACCATGCATATTTGAAGCGGAAATTAATATGGTCGCGACGGATTAGTTTATCAATCACATTGCATTATTGCAGTCGAACTGGATTGATGTGTGTTGTAGACTGTCACTTTAACTAATGGCCTAACTAATTCTATAACCACTAGGATGGTCACACGCTGATCCATTGATTCTGACGCCATGGCCACTGATTCACTGTACTCCAATTCCTCGATTCATTCATTTTTCGGTGCATTTTCTACGCGTCTTCCTGAGCTTGATCGGCATGTCTACTCGATCCATGTCCAGATCAAGATTAACATCAGCAGTCAGCATGGCGCTGTAGCTTTAATTGACACGATGTGATCGTCTGATCGTCCATGATACATTTCGCGGCACAGTGATGACTGATGAATGCGTTGCATCTGCCATGAACACCAACGCCCAAAAGCCAAAACGTGTGCCATCTGAACTGAAAACCGAATGTATAGTTCGTCGGGCACCGTTTCTCTGACGCTGACTGCTATTTAGGTACATGCACCGGCAGCTTTATTATTTCCAGAGTGCAATACGGATCATTCGCGATCAGACGTTATTAAGGTCTACAGATATCATTCGATTTGGCACACAAGAGCTGTCACTTGCATTGAGTACAGTGTACAGGTGACAGCTGCAGTATGTGCCCAGGCTGTGTAGTGTGACATGCACTCATCTCGCCGTAGCCGTCAGATGGAGACCCTGGTCGATGGCGAGTGTAAGCGTGGTCCTGTAGCTAACGATCTCCTTCTCGTCGCGAAGTTTGAGCACGAAGAAACGGAGCAGCACGGCCGCGAAGATCTTCATCTGCCTGTACGCGAACTCCTTCCCGAGGCAGATTCTTGGCCCGGCCTACGGAAGAAGCAGGTAAACAGAATTCAGAAATCTAGTCACCAACTTCTTCAGAGAAATTGATGATTGTGTGCTGAGTTCGGTAAACTTCACCTGAAATGCTGTAAACTTGAACGGGCTTTCCTGCTGAAAGACGCCGTTTTCGTCGAGCCAACGTTCAGGCCGGAAGTATTCAGCGTCTTTGCCCCACAAGCTCTCCATCCGGCCCATCGCGTAGGGGATGAAGAACACGATGTCCCCCTTGCTGACGTTAAAACCGTTGGGCAATACATCGTCTGAAAAGCACTGCTTGTTTTCCTGAAAAAGAAAAGGATCATCATCAACAAGAGACGTTTGTTACGCACTCGATGAGAGAAATGTCGTTTGATTAATTAGCTCGATGGTAGTATGAAACTGATCATAATTAATCACCATTGGAACTGAAGGGTAAAGCCGGAGCGTCTCCGTCAGTGCGGCGTGCAGGTAGTGCATGTTGTTCAGCGCTTGGTCAGTCAAGCTCTGCAAGAACTCGTCGACGGAAGCGGTGTCCCCGGCGCTGGTGGCCACCATGGCTTCGTGGCAGATCTTCTCCTGGACTTCCGGGTGCTTGCACACCATGTACAGGAACCAAGCAAGCGCCCCAGCTGTGGTGTCCTTGCCGGCTATGACAATGTTCAGTATGATGTCTCGCAGGTACTTGTAATCGACCACAGAATCGCTGGTCGTTGCCTGGAGAAATCTTGATAGGATATCCTGCCTCGAACCCTGTACAGATACAAAATTCAGCTTAGTTACACATCCAGAAATGGATCTATCATATATATGTCAGTCAAACCGGAGTGTAGTGAGCTGCTTAGTTTCAGGGGTTGCTTACGGAGTCGTGTGAGTTGGAGAGCTCGTCGGACCTGGCACGGATGAGCCTGTACACGAATTCGTCGACGACCTTGATCCTCTCCTTGAGCATGGCCTCGACGCCGACGTTGAGGAGCCTTGCCAGCTTCCAGAGCGGGCTGATGTAGCGGAGCATGGTGAACTCACTGGCGTCGTCGAACGCCGCGGCGAAGCGGCTCCCCTCGCCGGAGCCGTCCAGCGTGTTGAGGTCTGTGCCGAATGCGATGGTGAAGATGGAGTCCATCGTTGCTCTCAGCATCAAACCCTGAACAAACGTTCGACACAAACCGTACGTCACTCACCGTCTCACCGGCGCCGTGCATTATTAGCCATTTGGTAGTTACGATCGCTTAATTTACCTGGAAGTCCATGGATTGGTTTGACGCGGCGTGGTTGGAGACGATGCCGGCGAGCTTGGCGGCGTTCCTCTTGAAGACGGCGCAGCTGAAGTCGCGGAGGGCCCTGGTGGAGAAGTCGTAGCTGGCGATCTTCCTCTGCTGCTTCCACTTCTCGCCGTCGATGGCGAAGATGCCGTCCCCGAACAGGTCCTTGGCGTTCCCGTGGTTAAACGGCCCCTTTGTTTCGTACAGTACGTGTCAGCACAAACCAGTGTCGTGGAAAACGAAATACGGGTGGCGGACGGACGAGGTGCCGTCAAGCGATTAATCGTAATACGGATGATTAAACGGAATTATACGGATTTTTGGCGTTCGCACTAAGATGTACATAATTGATGTTAATGGCAACGGTGGAGACAAAATGCATCATCTTAATAAAAAATATTTGTATAAATCTCTAACTATATTATGAAAATACCATTTATTAGTTCAATAGATATCAATACTGATGGTTAGTAGCGCAATAGTATTGGGCTTGTTAGTCAAAATAGTGCAGCTGGGCTGCAAGTTGCAAGTTTATGTTAGTTTCATAAACAGACATCTGATTTATCGATAAATAACCGACTAATCATGCCATACAACTGTATAATTACTCTGAAATAGTAATGTTGCTCCGACTTGATGATACGGTACGGTCTGGCTACCGTTTCCGTTTTGACGGACGATTAAACGGCTGTGCCGGCCGACTTCCACGACACTGGCACAAACATGAAATAGCTGCTTGCGCAAAGCCGATGGGCCTACCTATGGGATGTTCGAACTATTGTGATTTTCTGAGTGGATAAGTTTATTTTAGGTCTCTCATCTTAACGTCGTGTTTGAATCGTCTTCTTAAAATGCAAAACCAGATATACATACGCCCCTCATTTTTACAAAACTGGTGTACCAGAAGTCCTAGAACAGTATCGTTCCTGGTTTTGATTGAGGTGACAGCTAAGTCAGTGTTGGACCCACATGTCAGGGTATTTTAGTCAGAGTCAGAACACTCTTTCTTCGTCTTCTCCCCTCCTCTCCCCATCGGTCGCTACCCCTGTCCACGTTGCTCATTGTCTACCTCCTGGCCTAATGAGAGATGGTAAAGTGAGACGTTTGATATGTGGGTCTCACGCTGACTTAGCCGATACTTTAGCTGAAATCGGCATTATACTGTCCTGGGATTTTGGGTACATCAGTTTTACAAGTTGAGAGACGTAAGTTGAGGGACGTGTTATATCTGATATTGATGTTCAATGAAATGATTCAAACCCAATGTTAAGATAAGGGACCTAAGTACCTAACATGTACTTATTCCATTTCTGGTTTATGATGATCTGTTTGGGCCCTTGATAGTTGGGTCGGAACGGGATTACGACCGAGGCTGATAATTAATGGGCCTATCAGACGAGCACGGCGTCCGTGGAAGGCCGGAATGCATCTGAGGCTTATGTCCGGCCCATAATAAAAGAGAAATCTTGTGACTATTTGTTCCAGAAAACATTTAAACTATTAAACGTCATTTTTAAGCATCATATTTAAACCTCATGTAGATGTAACACACTGACTCTCAGTGCTTGGTGGCGAACTCCAAACATGATTGCGTAGAATTGTGGTTTTCATATAGTAGAAGTTACTCCCTCCGTAGCAGATTATAGCCATAGGGCATATTTTATTTGGAACAAGTACTTAAGACAAGATTTGACCACTGACCACCTATAAAATATATTCTTGTTATCTGTAGAACTAATGTCTTGGGAAATTTTTTTAAAAGATATAAGTTTTATGCACTAAATATACTTATAATTTGATTAATCATTGGTCAAACACACAAAATTTGACTTTCCGAAATATTATGTGTCCTATAATTTTCAACGGAGGGAATAATATTCAACTAGGTTTACATATAGGGTTAACTTAACTAGAAGCTACGTATACTGTAGCAGTTTACAAACAATCTTTAAACATTTAAATCCAATTTCAATTTCTACAAGTTATATTAAAAAAAAAAGATGCACTTGATTATACAGTGATAAGGGGTGTGTGGTTTCAACTCTAAAGTTATGTATTCAATTTCCAATACACTCACAATTTTCTCTTAAAAAATATTTGAAGGTACGTCTCTCTCTCCAAATCTTATTTTTTTTACAAGTTACAATATAAGAAAACAAATTAAACTTTATTTAGTATACATATATTCACAACCATATATATATTTTTAACAACTTGTAGATGTTAAACTTAAACTTAAATATAACGTCAATCCATCTTCTTAATTTATTTTTTTTTAAAAAAAACATACCTATCTAAGTGAAATTCCAAAAGTTACAACAAAAGAAAACAAATATTTAAACTTTGGTTACCATACATATATTGACAACCATATATATTTTTTACAACTTGTAGACGTTAAATTTAAACTAAAAAATATAACGTCAATCCATCTTCTTAGTTTCTTTTTTTAAAAAATCATACCTATCTAAGTGAAATTCCAAAAAAAAAAAGAAAGAAAAGAAGAGAGGAGATAAACCTTGCCGTAGTTGGCGAAGTTGGTCTTGAGGATGTGCTCGACGACGGCGGGGTCGCAGGTGTATATCTGGTCGCCGCCGGCCGGCACGAGCATCCGGAAGGTCGTGTGCTCGCGGGACAGCGCCGTGTGGTAGTCGTGTATGCGCCGGACGTTGTACAGCTGGTGGAACACCGTGCCGACCACCGGCGGCCGCCGCCGCCGCTTCTGCTTGTTGCTGGTGACGGCCAGGTACGAGCAGATCGCCACCAGAGCGAGGGCGCCGGCGGTGGCCATTACCGCCGCCGGAGAGTAGCAAGAGTCCCCGCCGCGTTCCGCTCCCATGGCTACAAGCAACAACGAGATGGGATTAGCTAGCTGCCGATTGCTGGACGCGCGACTGAGAGTGTTTTCCCCTTTTGTATTTGGCGCGAATGCATCTCTTTAATTTATAGATAGGAGAAGGTTCCAAATTGGCAGGATATAATTAGCGATGGGCTTATGGGGTACTCCATGTGGACTGCATGATAAAATAGTGGAAGATATCTTGTCAGCCGTCGACATGTAAACATGTTTGGAGTGTTGGACTAGCACAGCACTACACTATTCTCAGATTTGTTTAATTATCATGCTTCCACTCTTGACTCTTCCACCAGCAAGTTGTCTTTATTTATTTTAATGGCTGACAATGACATTTATATATTATTATTTCCTTATTTTTGGTTTTTGCAATGAGTTTAGTCCTCCCTCCGTTTTTTAAATGTCGATCAACATTCACTAGTCCGGTTATATGTACAATGGCTGTTATATTACTAATTAAGAATATTTGCTGACACGGAAAAACAGAGAGAAGAGAGATAAAACATTGCCGTTACTATTGACAACTCATGAATAACAACTCTTAGTTTTTATAAAATAGAACTTGGCTGCATGAGAATAAAATATAAAATAATAGTAATAAAAAACTTTTTAATTAATGATTAGAGTATTTATTATTTCAAAAATTTAAGGGAATAGTCTCTAAATAAAATGTGTATTGTCTAATTAATATTCTGTATCAGGCTTTACCTTTAGACAAGACATATTATAGAGATGCATTTGATACTGCAGTAGCAAGGGGTGTTGTTTTCAATCTTAAAGTCTCGTGTTCAATCCACAATATATTCACAATTTCTTCTTAATTTTTTTGTGAGACGTCTCTCCCTCCAAATCTTTTTTTACTTGCAATTATAGCTGTATCATTAATTCCTCATGAATGGTTAAAATACGTGAAATTTAAGACACAATATACTTTGGATGGTGTCATATCGTTTTAATTCTTCGTAACATTTTCAAAATAAAACAAGAGATCAAAGTTTGACAATGAGAACGAATAGTTTCGCTATCGATTATTTTTTTAAGGGGGCAGGGAGATATGGGATATCTGTCAATCAGAAGCGGAAGATATCCTGTCATACGTCATTAGTGTTCGACTAGCCCAGCATGACAGCAGTACAACACTAATCAACTGGCCCGACGGCAATGACTTGGCGTGGTCCTCAGGTTTCTTTAGTGTTTATTATGCTCCCAGATTACTTCATCTACTATATGTATATAAAAAAAAAGAAGAAGAAAAGCTTCCCAACACGTTCGCCTTTCTTCTTTTTTATATATACAGTATATAATATGTCCGATAGAGAATGACATTTGTTCCTGACATTTTTTTTGGTTTTGTTTGGCGGTCCTTACGTTTTAAAATATACTTTAGCGTTGACTACTACACATACAATTTGACAATTAGTTACTCTTAAATAGTAGGAAGTTTTATCTTATGATTGCAATTAAGATACAATATACTTGGATTATATAATCTCTTTTTAAATATTTGTATTTTGTTTTGAAAAATATGGGAGGTCAAGGGTTGAACATGAATAGTTCCATGAGCAATTATTTATGGGTTAATTGAATCCATATTGTTGTAATTTCTTCGATTTCAAAACATACCATTACTATTCGTATAATTTTTTTTAACTGAAAACACTGGGGGAGAAGTCCCCACGTGAATTAAATTAACAAAGGTTACTTACATCAACCGACAACAGAGGAAGGGAGGAGAGAAACAACAGACTAAGGAGAGAGAAAAAAAAATCCAATTACAGCAGACTAAGCGGGGACGAGAGAATGGAGATCCACAGCGGCAGGATGTTCTTACTATTCGTATATTAAGAGACATGCCATTACAATTTGATGTAAATTAGAAATATGCCATTACGTACCCCTTCAACACAATTAAAAAATTGGACAAATGCCCCCCTCCTCCTCCCTTCACCCCCTTCTTCCTTCTCCCTCTCACTATTTGTCATCTCTTCCACAAGTCCGATCCGGCAATCCCCACCCAACTCACCGGATAGGCACTCCCTCTGTTCTCCACTCTCGTCGTCCACAACACCACAACATAGCCAACATGAGAAGCTCTGATTCCTACCAAGCATTGAGGACTCGCCCCCACCACCTAGACTACCCGACCACTCCACCGTTAGCTCCATTGCCGGTGGCATGACTTCATTGGATCCTGAACAAAAAAGGAGAGAGGAGGAGGGGTAATTTAGTCCAAATCTTTTTTATAATTACATTGAAATGGTACTAGTGGCATATTACTAATTTCGGTCAAATTGTAATAACATATCTTCAAATAAACAAATAATTATGATATTTTTCAAAATCAAAGAAGTTATAATGGCATATGGATCCGATTAATGGAAACTTAACAACAATGATATTTCTAGGATAAAATCACATGTATGATAGTATTTTAGGTAACTCTCACTTGTTGATGATATTTCTTATATTTGAGTGTTTATCAATAACATTTCTTAGTTTTTCCATATTTAGTTAGATTGGCTTTAGTTGTGGATTGCCGCGCTGAGTGATGCGCCCTTCTGTATTTTGCGCGAATTAGTGATGGGATATCTTTGTCATTCTGTATAATGCATCTCTTTAGTTATAGCCGGGTAGGTTCCAAATAGGCAGGATATAATTAATGATGGGATTGTCATTCGTCGATACTCCATCCGTCCCATAAAAAACGAATCTAGAACCAGACATATTCTACTACTATGAATCTAGACGTATGTATGTCCATAATCGAAATACTAGGATGTATCATATTCGGTACTAGGTTATTTTTTTATGGGACGGAGGGAGTAGGCTGGAGCATTGGACGAGCACCGCATTACCTTACTCAGGTTTATTTATTATGCTTCCAACAAGTTGTCGTTCTTTCTTTTAATGGCTGAGAATGACTTCTGTATCTTGATTGTTTTTCTTTCAGCTGGTCCTCCCTCTCTCCTATAATATACTCCCTCCGTCCTAAAATATAACAATTTTAGGGTGAATGAGACATATAATAGTACTATACTAGAATATGTCCCATCCACCCAAAAGTTATGATGGCTGTGTTTAGTTCGTGTGACAAAATTTTTTTAAGTATACGGACACACATTTGAAGTATTAAACATATACTAATAACTAAACAAATTACAAATTCCACCTGTAAACTGTGAGATGAATCTATTAAGTCTAATTAATCCGTCATTAGCAAATATTTACTGTAGCACCATATTATCAAATCATGACGTAATTAGGCTCAAAAGATTCGTCTCGCGATTTACATGCAAACTGTGCAATTGATTTTTTTCGTCCATATTTAATGCTCCATGCATATGTCCGAACATTTGATGTGACAGAAAAGTAATAAGTTTGAAGAAAAAAGTTTGAATATAAACACGGCCTATATTTTAGGTTGGAGGGAGTATAAAAGATTTTGATTGGATGTGATACATCCTACTACACGAACAAACAAATTCCCTTATATTTAGAGACGGAGGGAGTAAGATGTCTTAGCACAGTTTTCGAAACTAATTTATGATTTGTAGTTTCCTAAAGTTTGTAACAACAAAATTATAATCATATAAAAGTAAATTAAAATATCAATTCAATGATATTATTTTCAGCAAATAAAATTTAGTTTATACTGTACAAATTGTTAGTTAGTAGTAAATGTTTTAGGAGTTAAATCTTAAAATACGTGCACACCTGTATTATAGGATGGAGAGTATCAATCAACGTTGCCTACTCTACTTATACGTCGATCATTATTCAGTTAATCACTTTAAATGGTTAATGCAATGGCAGTGGAAGCTGCAATCTTTTTAACTTTGCAGATACTATACTTTCCTTACGGATAATGCAGCTATTAATGACACTATAAAGGAGAAAAAACTTTGAGGAAAAACCAGGCCAACCTTTGATTAGTCGAATGCAAGCAAATATTCCTCAGACCATGATGCAGGTTACGTGGATCATAGGAGAAGTTAATCGATTAGCCGATAAACTAGTAAAAGATGCTAGAATGCAGCAACTAAGTTCTCCAGTTTATAACTGTCAAAAAAAATCCTAGCAATTGTTGTTACGCTAGAGCTTTGAAAGACCATTTTAGTGCAACCAACTGTACGGTAAATAATGTAGTAGTTCTATGTTTCTGAAACGGAAATAAAGTTTTTGAGTTATCAAAAATACTCCTAAGGGCCTGTTTGGCACAGTTCTAACCAAACAGTTTCAACTCCACTAAAACTGGGAGTGGAGCTGGGTGGAACTCTCTCACAAAATGAACTATAGTTGTGGAGCTGGGTTTAGGCAGCTCCACAACTCTACTCCAGACCCAACTCCTGAAGCTAAATTTAGGAGTTGGAGCTGTACCAAACATGCTCTAAATGGTTAGAATATGACGAACAAAAGTATATCACTATAGTACAATACATTGATTATACTATATAATTTTTATTTGTAATTCTTTTATAGAAAATGAGAGATCAAAGTTTGAAAATAAAAAATACCACTGTCAACTATTTTTAAAAATGGAGGAAGATTTTTTTTTTTTGGGGGGGGGGGGGGTAGGGGTGAAAACGAATAAGATAATATCCAATCCAAATCTGTCCGAAACGAGGATATGGTACGTGCTTTTAGAAATCCGACGGATATGGAGATGCGAATGTGGATAGTATGATGCAGCACATGGAGAAGATGTGGATGGAAAGATAGAGGATGTCACGTGAGCACTGTTGCAATGTAGGATGAAAACTAGATTTTATTGCCCCATTATATGGCACGCCCTATCAAAACTGGTTGTATTAGGATACGAGGTTTATTCGTCTGATTTGAAGAGTCAAATGAAAAAAAATATGAAGTTGTTTTGATTGAGGAGATAATTTGGACTATAATAGTTTATGAAGATAATTGAGACATTTTTTTTCCTTCTAGAAGACATCATCGTACAAATGTCAATGTCCCTTTTTTATTTGCCACCGCTGTCACGTTTCTATTGGTTGACTTCCGTTTGCCCAGTCAAATTTTGTATAAATGCCTGATCGAACAGCCCCCATCCATGGAATACATTAATGGGTTCCGTCCATTCAGCTGCATAAGGGTCAATTCTTCTTCAATGTCCAAATTGCCATTTGGACTTCACAATTTCAGCACTAATCTAAACAAGATCAAATCGATGGGTAACCCTATCTAGCTGGTCATTGGTCATTGTCGCACGCAAGAACACTACATTGTCTACTTGAACACGCAGAAATGGATGAGATAAACTATATACTCCCTCCGGTTTCATTTTAATTGACGCTTTGGACAATGACACGCTCTACAAAATATACCTTTGACCTTATTTTTCTATTATAATATATACAATAAATAATGCATGTTTTACTTTTATTATAGTGTTTTGAAAGATAAATCTATATATGTTTTTCTAGTTTCTTTAAACTAAATATTTTTTAAGTTATTGATGGTCAAAGTTATAAAAGTTTAACCTCAACATTGTCCAAAACGTTAATTAATATAGAACCAGAGGGGGTATAGTATTAAATTATTAACCGCAAAATACTAAAATCCAGAAGTGATCAACAATCATCATGAAAGATTAGCAATGGCAAATAGAGAATTGCCCCCAAACAACGATCAATCCACCGGAAAGAAGAACCCTATCTTCCAGAAACGCACTTGGCTGATAAAACAAGCAAGCAAAAACAGGGTAGATCTGATGCTGCTTCTGGACTTATCAAATCTCAGAGCGCACCACTGAATTCAGAAATCACAACACTGATTCATTGTTAGCACCAAAACAAAAAAGGGTAAATTATATAATGGCAGAACAGTAATTGAAATGGGAGTAGTAACACAATCAGTACTGAAGTAGATAATTAATATTCCCTCCATTGTAAAATATTTTATGCAACTACTATTAACGTATAGATTAAGAAAAAAATATAATCATTTCCTTGTTTGGATCAACCCAATAAGTTGCTTATAAGCATACACGTATTGTATTATGAAACATTATAAAAAAAATAGTTGTGCCCTACACTATAAAATGAAGGGAGTAGTAGCAGCGACACAGGATATTCCTTAATGCATGATAAAAAGATACAATACAAATTTAATTGTGGTTTGTTACATAAATACAAATACCTTGTTATAGGTTAGCTTCCTCTAAGCATAATATTATACTGTCCTTAGCTCTTCAATTGTAGTTATGGATCTTGATCCTATAGAGAGAAAAAAAAATGCATATCAAAGACATGAATTAGTACATATGGTAGTTAAGAAAATTTCGGAAGAAGAATTTAAAATACCACTAACGAGAGGTAAGGGTGTAAGTAACTAACCTACAAAATACACTTATATACCAAAATGAATTACTCAATTTTTTTAGAGTAATTCTACGGTCCTTGAGGAAATACCATGAGGTACCAAAACTTAGTGTAAAATTTGGTACCTCATAATACCTAAATATCAAGAGGTACCAAATTTACAATAGAAAAAAATAGTACCTCATGATATCTCCTCAAGTCCCGTAAAATTGCTCTTTGAGAATAATAAGAGATACCGAAAAACTCAGTGATCTCTGGTCGTTGATCAAGGTCCTAAAGGGGCTGGTCTTGATATGCTCGGGCCGGCTGCTCCTGGCCTTCTGCCTCCTTGCTTAATGTTGTGACGGCACCGGCGAGCCAAGGAGTTGAGCTGATAAGGCATCGCCGCCTACCAGCAAGTCGGGGTTGCCGGGTAGGGGCGGCAGGCGCCTTGTGGATTGGCAGGTTGTTGGAAGCGCGGCGGCAACCGGCCGGGCCTAGGCCGCTGGGCGGGAGGCGCCTGGAGCAAGCGTCGAGCAGGGAGACAGTTGTGTTAGGAGGCATCGGCATCGGCGGCACTATGCCCCTTGTCTTGTTCTCACATCCGGTGAGACCGTAGTACTAGTAGGGAGGAACCAGGGTTTAGTCTTTATTGGGCTCGGGCCGAACGTTGGTATGTCGAAAGGAAAAAGTACACCGAAGGTCCCTCAACTTGTCATCGAATTACAAAATCGTCCGTCAACCGCAAAACTAGATATATAACATCCCTTAACTTACAAAACAGTTCACTTTACATCCTTCGATGGTTTTGAACTCGGTTTTGTCTGACGTGGCGGGTGAGTTAGCGTGGGCCTCACATATCAGCACGCCACGTCATCATGTTCTCTTTCCCTCCTCTCCCTTCCCCTCTCTCTCTCTCATCTCCCTGGGCAGGCTGGTCGGCGGTGGTGGCGCGACCGCGTGCTTCGCCGGGGAGACCAGCGAGTACCGGCGCCAGCTCGGCTCCGCCGTCGACATGCCGCTCGACGCCGACGTCTTCTGTGCCCCGCCCGACCACAATGCGCCCCAGCAGGTAACCCGCACTCTGCACTGCCTGTTCTTTTCTGCATCGCGGAAGGAAGGCATCGATAGACTCCTCCGGGGTGTCGGGTTTCGAAGCCCTCGATTTATTTGCAGCATCTGTGCAGCTTCGGAGAAATCAAATGTCCCGCTTGCTCCTTTTGTGATCGATGCTTGAGATAGTAGCGTCCTGCATCTGTTCGTGATTCGTGGCTCGCAAGCCGCACTTCGATTACTGTAGATGTAATATACTACTAGTACGGAGTATTTTGCTGTTCGTTCTGTACTCGCGCTGGTCCTGCTGAGTGCTGAGTGGTGGTCATCCATTTGTATATGGTTGTCTCTGTCTCCATGCTGATGAAACAAGCGCCAGACCGGCGACTGCATCGGCCACTTGGAGTGCGGCGGCACGGGCGCCATGCCGCCGGTGACGCTGTTTTGTAGGCGATGGTGTAGGCGGCGGCGTTGCAGGTGAAGGTGCTCGTGTAGGCGATGGTGTAGGCGGCGGCGTTGCAGGTGAAGGTGCTCATGCCGTCGTCGTAGGCGTAGCTCGTTGAAGATGGCCGAGTACGCCGTCGGCCGGCACGTCGCCGGCGTCGCATACGCGCCGCTGCAGCAGTACTCCTCCTCCCCGAACGCCTCGCACGCACTCCGGCACGCCACCGTCCCGCCGCCGCCGTCCACCTGCAACTCCTTCGGACACGCTGCACATATGCTCATGCAGCACAAACACGTTCGCCATGTACGACATGCATGCATGACGCATGGATGTGTGACACGTTACGTACAGCGGTTGAGGTCGGCCGTGCAGCCGGTGGTGGCGCAGCCGCCGCCGGCCTGCGGGACGGCGACGATGGGCAGGCTGTACCCGTCGACGAGGCTCACGTCGTAGTAGTCCAGGTCACCGGCGCCGCCGCCGCCGCCGCCCTTCCCCAGCGTGACCTCGAACAGCGTCGCCGGCGGCGTGGCGCCCGTGCCGCCACAATCCAAGCGGCCGCCGCATTCGCCTGGAGCCGTCGACGACGACAAGGCTGATGCATCCCCATCCGCAGCGGCGCTCGCCCGCCGCCGCCGCCGCTCTCGCCCGCTGACGCCGCCTCTCCGCAGCCGTGCTCGCCCACCGACGCCGCCACTCCGCCACCGCGCTCGCCCGTCGACGCCGCCGCTTCGCCTGCTGGAGTACATCGCTTCGCCTCCTTCACCACCACCGCCGGCGCATCCCCTCGCAAGCGCCACCACTCCGATGACAAGAGCACCCAGTTCGGCAAGGACGATGTGACCGCCGCCGCCGCCGGGCTGCCGCCTCACCTCCTCCTCCTCGGCGGCAGTGGCATCGCCAAGAGCGTGTGCTTCTCCGCCGCCGGCCGCCATGCCCTCCTCACGGCGTCGAACGAGAAGAGAAGAGTGAGAGAGAGAAAGAGAGAGGAGGAAGGAAAAGAGATTGACGTGGCATCTGACACGTGGGGCCCACATAAAGGTCCCACGCTGACTCTGCCGCCACGTAGGACAAAACTGGGTCCAAAACCACCAAAGGACCTATTGTAATCGGTTTTGATTGGTTAATGGATGCCGGATATCTGGTTTTGGGATTGGGGGATGATTTTGTAACTCGATGACAAGTTGAGGGACCTTCGGTGTACTTTTTCCTATGTCGAAATTTCTAGTTATACAAAAGGCAGTCCATTGCTACTTGGGCCACGACCCATGTCCCAAGGTGCATAGGTGTTTTTGGCATTGGCATATCTAGGTAAAATGGAACACAAAAATAATTAACCAATGGCGGACAGCGGGGCAGGATTGATAAAAACCAGATCCGGATCCCATTAATAGGGATGGACGGCAATGCAGAGGAAGGTGTCGGCAGAGGCGATGAGTGAAACAGTGGAGGTGGGCTCGGCGTCGGTGCATTGTTCACAGTAATGGTGACATGGCAGAGACCCTAGGATGGCAAGGGTCGCGAGGTCCTTGCATCCGGCAGCAGTGCAGTTGATCCAGGCGAGGAAGATGGTGGCGTGGCATTTCCAACTTCCAAGCAGTAGCAGGATGAATCTAGGGTTGTGTTTAGTTTAGCGCAAAGTTTGGATTTTGGTTGAAATTGAAAATGATGTGACTGAAAAGTTATGTGTGTATGACATGTTGATGTGATGAAAAAGGACTGAAGTTTGGATCCAAACTTTGGATCTAAACACAGCCTAGGTGGGGACAGTGTGGCTGTCTGAGTGGTGTTGGGCTGGCTCTTCGAGGTAGCAGTGGCACAATGCTTCTAGGCTTCGAGACGATGGCAGGGATGCCGGACGAGGCAATGTAGCAGCAGATCTGGGCCTTGTAGTAATAAGGTAACTACTTCCTCCGTCCCAAAATGAAGCCATTTTTGAGGTTGGCACGGGTATTAAGAAAGTAGGTGAGAATGATTGGAGGAAGTGTGTGATTGGTTGAGAAGAGAAAGTAGGTGAAGAAGAATGGTTGTGATTGGTTGAGAGGAGGAGGTAGGTGAAGAAATAGATTTATTTTGGGACAAGACACTGTGCTAGAAATAGCTACATTTTGGGACGGAGGGAGTACGTGTTATACGTGGGGGGTAAAATGGCCTTTGCACAACATCATAACAGATGTTTGCTACTAGAAAGTTGATGGCGATGTCATTTGTTGGATAAAATCGTTTATAGGATGGTATTTACTGAAACATGTCCTCATTAATGGCAACACTTAGAATTTGAGTTTTTTTTACATAATGGAATATAATATTCCGGCCTTTACTCAAAAGAACTACAACCAATTATTACATAGTAGCTTTCAATAATATAGTATAAATCTAAATGAATAGAACACACCGAAAAGAAAAACAAAGAAACCAGCCTAACGTAAGGAGATCACAATTATTGAAGTCTATTTGAAAATCTCAAACCATAATTAGCAAAAAGTTGCATAACCGTTGTCGGAGATATGGGCCCGAGGGTATGCGAAGTGAGGGGAATCTACCTTCCCATCCTGCCACGTGTCCCTACAGCCTGGTCCTGTCCCCGCATTCCGTGAACCGCAGGAGCGGCCGGGGGGTCGGGGCCTCGGGGTGCCACGTTATGCCCCTCGGGCCCTTGCACTGCTTTGCCCCTAGGCCCTCGCCTAGCCGCTGTTTGGCGGGGGAAGCAAGCGAGGAGGGGGCCCAGGCTAAACTTACTTTAATGCGCGCAGCGCCCCAACTGCCCCCTGTCGTATTTAATGCAGTGGGGCAGACGTGTGGCGTGCTAAACTGATGCACGATGGTCAAGAATGACCGGTCTGTGACCGGCCTGACGCCGGTCACGTATGACTGGACGGACAACCGTGTTCCCACGTCGCATCTGCTTCCGGCGGAGTGGAGGTAGGTATGACCCGTCCCATCAGGGGGTCATTCGGACGGCGGCCACCACAAGTCTTCACCTATTAATGAGGGAATAACAGGGCTGTCCCCCGTGTCAGGCGAGGGACGGCGCTGGGCCCCGCTCAAGGACAAGCTGTGGTTTAGCTTCCAGGCGAAGGCACTGGTCGAGTTCCAGTCAAGATAGGGTGGGTCCCCACCCGAAAGAAGAGTAGGTAGAGGTGGTGCATGTGGTATCCCCTTGAGGTATAAAAGGTGGACCTTGCCCACCGAGAAAGGGGACGACTCTCAGAAAATCTGAGCTTGTGGAGGAGGGAAGTAAGAGTGTTCTCCCGAGCTTAGGAACCCTTGTAACTCTCAGTCTAAATCCCATACACAGGAGTAGGGTATTACGCTTCATAGCGGCCCGAACCTGTATAATTTGGTTGTGTGCGAGCTAGCTAGGAGCCTTGGGGACGGATATGCGATTTCTAGAGGCGAGCTTCTTCCCCCGGCTGAACTCATGAGGGGGGGGGGGGTTCTCACGATCTCCCGCTAGAGAGGATCACTCCTCGACAACCGTGGTCTCCAACTTTCGGCATACAACTTTCAGAAACTCTTCATCTTCATCACACCTTTGTAGTTGTGCCTAAAACCGGAGCCAATGAGTTGCCCTGAAAATAACCTACATATAGGAAAATGATGGTGATTTGTCAAAAACCATATCGTTCCTACTCAGCCATATTGCCCAACAAATGGCAGAAGCTCCAACAAGTATCAGTTTACTCATTTTCTTATCAACTCCCAAAAGTCACCCATTAAAAATATGAGATATGCTAACTGGAAGAATAAAACCAAAAGAGAACTGAACTGCTCTCCATAGGAACTTCGCAAAATGACAATCCATAAAGAGATGTTGAATAGACTCATTCTTTAAACAAAAAGAACACTTTAAGCTGCCATTCCAGTTACGCCTTGCCAAATTATCCTTATTTAACACAACCCCTTTAAGCAAGTACCACATGAAAATTTTAATCTTAAGTGGCAATTTAAGCTTCCAAATACAATTGTTTCTCTCGATATAGCCATTATTAATTAAAGCTTGGTACATAGATCTCACCGAGAACAAGCCATTCTGATTGAAATTCCATCTAAAACTATCATACGAATCATTCAATTGAATATGTACTATAGAGGCACACAACTCATGCCAACAAACAAGATTATGACCATCTAAAGCTCTCCTGAAAGAAACATTAAGCGGAACAGATCGATCCCATAACGGTGGCAATAGAAGATGTTTTCCTCCGAACAATTGCATACAAAGATGGATATTTATCTTTAAAAGCCAAGTTACCAATTCATTTATCTTTCCAAAATCTAATTTGTTTCCCATTATTGACAATCCAAAAACCCATATTTAAGAAAGTACTTTTGACATTCATAAGACCAGACTAAAAATGAGAATCACCTTATTTCTTGTCAACTTGGGTTATAGATTTATTATAAATATATTTGAGTTTTTGCCGATGACAAAACTTTGATTTATTGTAACTGAAAGAACTAAGTATTCGAAGATAACTAAACAAGTAGCTCATGAGCTGGCTTGTTATGCTCACGACTTGAAATCCCACATCAGCTTGACTTATTATTATTACTCCGAGCCAAACTAAGGCAGAGTTCTTGAGTGAGGGTTGGCAGCCCTCATTTTCTGCACGAAAAACGGAGCGATGAATTATTGCACGAAAAATTAAATATTAGCTAAAAAAACTTAAAAAATGGGTTAGTATAATTTTTGAAAACAACTTTTCTATAGATTTTTTTTTTGCAAAAAATACGCCGTTAAGCAGTTTGGAAAACATGTGTATGAAAAACGAGAGAGTAGAGGATGGTAACAAGCAGTGCCGAACGCAACCAAAGTAGTTGATTATGAGTTCGAGCCGAACTAAGCCGAGCTCAATGCAAGCTGATGCCATGAGTTTTGAGTTATCTTTTTTTATTTTTCCAAACTTACCTTTTCCAAGCTCATAAAAACATTACAATTTTGTAAAAAAATCATCAGCATTTGTTGAAAGCCCTTTTAAAATCAACTTTCTACTATTTAATCCATTCATTTGTATTGCGCCCTCCAAGTTGTACAATTGAAGTTCCCTACAACACCAGTTCACTCCAATAAGTTACTCTGACCCTGACTGCAGTTCAGATGCACTTATTATTCTAGGGTGCAATGCGGGTTATTCACGATCAGACATAATTAAGGTTTGCAGATCTCGTTCGTTTTGGTATGCACAAGGAGCTATCACTTGCATGAGTACAGGAGCCAGCTGCTGTGCGTGCCCAGACTGTAGTGTGTGCCCTCATCTCGCCATAGCCGTCAGATGGAGACCCTGATCGACGGAGAGTGTAATCATGGTCCGGTAGCTGATGATCTCCTTCTCGTCCCGCAGCTTGAGCACGAAGAAACGGAGCAGCACGGCCGCGAAGATCTTCATCTGCCTGTACGCGAAATCCTTCCCGAGGCAGATTCTTGGGCCGGCCTACAGAAGGAGCAGGTGATCAGAATTCAGAATTGTCTCATCACAAAGTTCAGAAAACTTTCAGAAGTGGGTAACCGGAACTCAGAAAGATTCTTGGAGTTCAGTAAATTTCACCTGGAAAGCTGTAAATTTGAACGGGCTCTCCTGCTGAAAGACGCCGTTCTCATCGAGCCAACGTTCAGGCCGGAAGGATTCAGCGTCTTTGCCCCACAAGCTCTCCATCCGGCCCATCGCGTAGGGGATGTAGAACACGATGTCCCCCTTGCTGACGTTGAATCCGTTGGGCAATACATCGTCTGAGAAGCACTGCTTGTTATCCTGAAACATCGTCAGAAACAAAGTGACACTACGTTTGTTACTATACTTCGATTCATTTGGCATTGGGCAAGAGAATTAATTTCGTTTGATTAACTTTGTGATCGTAATTAATTACCAGTGGAACTGCAGGGTATAGCCTGAGCGTCTCCGTCAGTGCAGCGTGCAGATAGTGCATCTTGTTCAGTGCCTCGTCGGTCAGGCTCTGCGAGAACTCGTCGATGGAAGCGGCCTCGCCGGCGTTGGTGGCCTCCATGGCTTCGTGGCAGATCTTCTCCTGTACTTCCGGGTGTTTGCACATCATGTACAGGAACCAAGCAAGCGACCCGGCTGTGGTGTCCTTGCCGGCTATGACAATGTTCAATATGATGTCTCTCAGGTACTTGTAATCAACCGTCCCAGAATCGCTAGTCGTTGCCTGGATGAATCTTGTCAGGATATCCTGCCTCGAATCCTATTGCACACAAAAAGTTCACCTTAATTTCAAGTGTTTGATCACTCACAAAATGGATGGACAATTGGACATATCAGGTAGTGCTTACAGTGTCGTGTGCCTTGGTGTTGGAGAGCTCGTCGGACCTGTCACGGATGAGCTTGTACACGAACCCGTCGACGACCTTGATCCTCTCCTTGAGCATCGCCTCGGCGCCGACGTTGAGGAGCCTCGACAGCTTCCAGAACGGGTTGAGGTAGCGGAGCATGGTGAACTCGCTGGCGTCGTCGAACGCCGCGGCGAAGCGGCGCCCCTCGCCGGAGCCGTCCAGCGTGTTGAGGTCTTGGCCGAACGCGATGGTGAAGATGGAGTCCATCGTTGCTCTCATCAAGAAACCCTGAAGAAACAACCGAACAAACGTCCTCAATGGCGATACAAACACAACACACCACTGGCGCCATCGATAGTTACGATCGGTTGATTACCTGGAAGTCCATGGATTGGTTTGACGCGGCGTGGCTGGAGACGACGCCGGCGAGCTTGGCGGCGTTCCTCTTGAAGACGTCGCCGCTGAAGTCGCGGAGGGCCCTGGTGGTGAAGTCGTAGCTGGCGATCTTCCTCTGCTGCTTCCACTTGTCGCCGTCGACGGCGAAGATGCCATCCCCGAACAGGTCGCTCATGTTCCCGTGGTTAAACGACCCCTTAGTATTTTTCACAGAAACCATACGTGTCAGGGCAGCAACAAATCCACAAACATGAACCGCACCGGCCTAGCTAGCAGCCTCAAATGGCTGCTTGCAAAGCTGACTGGTTTGGGATCAACATGAATGCCTCTAGTACCAAATGCTACAAACATGATGTTACAGTAAACATTTATAATTATGCAACTTTAAGTTTGTCATCACCCTAAGTATATCACTAGTGTATATTATATTTCATCTTTGCTCCAATCTCAGCTCAAAAGCTTTTTGACCCTAGGGGCATTCTTGTCTTTTCGAAGAATCTCTCTTCAATTAAGCCAAAAGTGTCCGTGGACAAATTACGAGTTTTTTTAAGTGTCTTTAAGCCGTGGCACGTTTTTATGATATATACCAGCAAATTACACAGTTTTTGAGGATCCTGTAACAAATTTTGCCTATTTCCTTTCGAGTGTCACGCTCGTAACTGACTAACCGGGTATGTATATCGTCGCTGTTACCTAGCTAGATATCGAGCTGCCTACAATTAAAAAGGTATGAATGGATCAACCCGTAAATCTATTTATAAATAAATTAAATGGATTGACCAATAGATTACCCACTTATTTGATCGGGTTGCCGGGTACCATAACTTATAGCGTTTTCCTCCTCTCCTCTACTCCCATCATTCTCCTTCGGCTCTTCACCTCTCTTTTTATCTCTTCGTGCATGGTGTGCAAACACCCGGAAGTACTCGTGTGCAAGTACCCGGAAGTCCCGGTTCTCTCCTCCGCCACACTATGCTGCTGTTGTCAACGTCGCGGCCTGTGTGGCCACAAGCCCACAACCTCTTTCTTCCACCCGAGTAGATTTTTAGGATAATCCATTTGGGCCCATGATAGTTGTGTTAGATCAAAGACAATAACTAACGTTTCTTTTTTTATTGAGAACTCAATGACTAACGTATGGTCCACAATAAATAGGATGAATAGGATTGTGACGATACGTACAAGTTGGGCTGGAACATGTTCGCGGCGCACGTGTGGCCCATATTAGATGGGGCCGTACGCGTCAAATTGACTAGAGAAATATCCTTTTTGACTACATAGGGTTATGCTAGTAGCAGTAATAAGACTGTTGGTTCTATCCGTTTGGAGAGAGATTTTCTGTGCACTCATTAGTATATATTTAATTAAGTATTAATTATTAAAACTTAGAAAATAAATTTATTTAATTTTTAAAATAACTTCTATATGGAAACCTTTTGCAAAATACACAATATTTAACCGTTTGGAAAACGTGCTAATAAAAACGAGTAAGTTGAAGAAAAGACTGGGCCTAGTTCTTTTTTCTCAACTCCAAACTTCAGTTTTCACGTTTTCCGTTAGCATATTTTTTAAACTGTTAAATGATACTTTTTGACAAAAAGTTTTTACATAGAAATTGTTTAAAAAATCAAGTAAATCTATTTTTCAACCTTATAATAGTTAATACTTAATTAATTATGTGCTAATAACTTTTCTCATTTTAGGTTCACGGGAAATATCTCTCCAATTGGACAAAGGGAGAGAGAACGGGGACTAAAGTATAGCCGTATAGGAGTAGTAAAGCAGTTTACAGAATCACAAGAGCATGCAGTAATAAAGAGTGGCGCTGCGTACCTTGCCGTAGTTGGCGAAGTTGGTCCGGAGGATGTGCTCCACGACGGCGGGGTCGCACGTGTATATCTGCTCGCGGCCGGCCGGCACCAGCAGCCGGAAGGTCATGTGCTCGCGGGACAGCGCCGTGTGGTAGTCGTGCACCCGCCGGACGTGGTACAGCTGGTGGAATGCCGTGCCGACCACCGGCGGCCGCCGCCGCCGCCGCCGCTTCTGCTTGCGGGTGGCGACGACGGCCAGGTACGTGCAGATCGCCACCACCAGCACGAGACCAACGGCGGCCGCCGGAGAGTTGGAAGAAGAGTTCACGCCGCCATCTTCTCCCATGGCACAAGCAGAAAACCAGCTTAGCTAGCTCGCTCTTGGCTTAGTTTGGTTGGCCTTTGCTGCCGATCGATTTCGGCCGGCCAGCCTGAGTGAGATGTGCTCCTTTTAGATTTTACGTCGTCGATGCGTCTCTCGTTTTATACAGATCGATAGATAGCCTAGTGGGTTCCGAATGGGCAGAAGTATGTGGATGGAATCGTGAACCGCATGCCATGCTACAGCCTACAGTGGTAGATATCTTGTGATTGGGCAATTTAGGTTTGGAGTGTTTGACTACTACTTTCTCCCTTTTACAATGTAAAAATTTCTAATATTATCCACATTCATTTAAATATTAATGAATCTAAACATATGTATATGTTTAAATTCATTAAAATCTATATGTATATAGATAATGCTAGAAAGTTTTACATTATAAAACGGAGGGAGTAGCAGTCTAGCACGGAAGGACAAACACTAAACCAACTGACCTGGCGGCGATAACTCGGTGCCGTACGGTGGTTCGTTTTGTATGCTTCCAGCAAGTTGGTCTTACTTTTTTTTCCTTTCCGCCGGCCGATCGAGAATGACGTACTGATGAGCAAACTTTCGATAGGTATTGATTAGATTGATTTGGTGAAAATTTGACACTCACGATCTGGCTTCTGGCTTCTGGCTTCCGATCAATATGATCCGAACCCTGCAATCGTAATACCACTTCTACTCTGGTTATCAACCATACGTTGTCCGATTGACCTCGCCTAGAAGACTAATCCCTGCATATGAATTGAAAAACATAAGCCCTAGGGCGTATGCCCTCTTGGGCTTAGCCAACGATATAATTACAACGTCTAGGACCCAAATCAAACTTGGATTGTATGAGGTACGTGGTTTGTTTTGTCGATTCCTAACAACTAATGAGTAAATTTAATGTGGGACCAAAACCATATGAAAGTAGACCCATAAGCTTTACAACAAGTACTCATAAGCCTAGAGATTTCTTTTAGATTATCTACTAGTTCCATTTGAAGTTGATATTGCTAGGATACCCAAATCCGAATCCAACATGTGGAGACTTTAATCTTTTGCCTTATATAAACCAAAAGTATTGTGTTGATGTATGAGTAGACTTGAGAAATGTCAAACATTTTAGCTTGAGAAATGACGTAGGTGATAAACTCTGATCCCTAGTCAACTTATTTGATCATCCATACACTTCGTGAGTTTGCTCTCCTTTCTTTTGCACACACAAGTAGTTCTGCAAATGTGAATATACAAAACTGGTGTAGTAATATTTGTTCAAATATATAATGAGTAAACCTAATATTGAACAAATGCACATTTAGCTTGTTGATATGTAATAGAAGCATAGTTATATCCGAGTCAATGATATCCTCATCACATTTATTCATGATTTTGGGTTGTTTTGCTTTGAGCTGGCATAGGACTACAATTCTTAGCAGCTTATGTTCTAGGGTTCCATCGATTGACCTAATAAGCCAAAGTCAAAGCCAAAATTTATTTTTTTAAACTTAATTTTGAAGCTAAGTTTAAGATTTTTTAACATAGTTTTTTATATTGTTTTTTAAGTCACTAAGAGTATATTTACAAACGTTTTATGTATAAATTAATTTTTATTCCCTAATAAGCCGTTTAGGAAATGTGGGCAGCCGATGAGGCTGCTACTCCCATTAATTTGGTGTGTACTACTGCTATCTTCGACACATCATTTAAATTAAACTATGGGTGTGTTTAGTTCACGCCAAAATTGTAAGTTTAGTTGAAATTAGAATGATGTGATGGAAAAGTTGGAAGTTGGAAGTTTGAAGAAAAATTTTGGAACTAAACTCGGCCTATACTCCCTCCATTTAAAAAAAACTCAATATAAGATAGGATGTGCCCTAGGATAGGTCACATCTTACCTATGTTGAGTTTTTTTTAAACGGATGTAGTATTATCGTAGTGCAATCTTTGGTAGCTTATGTTATGTGGATTTTTGCGGGAACTTTCAACATTTCTTACAAAATCTTTGATGTAAATCTAACAACTTTTTTAATACTTCTAAAAACATGGTACAAACACAGACGCTCACATACATGTACATACACTCGCCTTTACAAATACATAGACACACACTAGAACTTACAAGATCCTTGTATAGACTAGATCGATTTGTATAGACTGGATCATTATATATATATATCCTGAGATTCACAAAGCCATCAGAAACGTCTCGATGTAGATATGTACACCTCTACTATTGAAAAAGTAATTAGTCATAAATATGGTCATTTGTACCAAATCTAGAACTTAATCTTAACTGAGCTAATTCTACAATAAGGAACCTAATTCATTCATTTTTGCTGTCAGATAATTTTCATAGCTAAGCTCCAATTCATCTTCCATTATGGAAGTAGGAGGGACGCCCTTAGCATAGTAGTTTAATATTTCCTCTGTTTTTAAATAATTGGCATCGGACACTATTTATTTCTAAACTTTCAGCACTCACTTTTTATGTAGATTTTTTTCCAAATGTTAAAAAGGATATCGTATTATTAAATGTATGGCATCTTAAAAATACAAGCACAAAATTTATCACAGTTCAACCATTTAAGAGTAATTGGTGGTCAAACATGAGACAATAACTTGTCGGTTATTTCAAAATGAAGGAAGTATTTGAAGTTCCTGGCATACCGATTTAGGTTCCATTATTTTCTTCAACTTCAAATTACAGCTTTCTTATTTTCCATGAGTATCTTTTCAAATTGTTAATGGTGTCTTCTCCAAAAAAAAACTTTATATATATAAAAAAAATCCTTTAACAACCCAAATAAATGTATTTTTAAAGTTTGTAATAATTAATATTTAATTATTAATGTGCTAACGGTTTATCTCGTTTTCGCATGTCACTGAAAAGGTAAACAAGTTGAAGTAGGAGATTCAAATAGCTAGGCCATTGCTCCGACTACAAAAGAAAGAACAGTTCCCTTCCCTTCTTGCACAGAAGACAGCAGACAGATCACCACCCCACAGGCCCCAGCATTGAGCTTACAAAAGTTATCCCATGTGAAACGTGTGCGACCATTCGATCGTACGAGCAGGACGAGACACCAAGAAAATATCCATGTTGATGATCGTATCTTGGCCTTGATATACGAAACACTACTGTTCATTGCTCAAGCCGTCGCTGGAGATGCTTTTGGCCGAGTTTAGTTGCAAACTTTTTCTTCAAACATTTAATTTTTCTATCACATCCAAACTTTTCTACACACAAACTTCCAACTTTTTCGTTACATCGTTCCAATTTTAACCAAACTTTTAATTTTAGCGTAAAATAAACACACCCTTTACTCAGAACTGATTCACATAATCACAGATGCAGCCGCAGAAACGTATGAATAAACCCGAAATTCCAGAGGTGTATGATGAATTCGCCTGTATTTGGAAAATTCCAGATGTCTAGTACGTTGAATTTGCCTGTACTTGGCTGCTAGCGCTAGACGACAATTGTAGATTTGCCGTTTGAAAGTTATTGTCAGCCTCGTGCAGGCAGAGTAGTGGAGCGCGCCATTGCTCACAGCAGATTCATTGTTTGTTGGCTCATGAGGTACGACCAAAAACTTAAATTTGTAATAGATTTTGAGGTTTTCTTATTGGAATATAGTTTATTTTTTTTACATCAACTTCTAAATCACTAAAACACAGATATAGAAGTTTTACCCATAAATTATTTATAATTGTTTCATTCCTTTTGAATTTACCACTATGAGTATCCTTAGTACTAGGCACGTGAAATTTATACTACGTTAGCTTTTTAATATATGAAATTATTGATTATTCGTCTTAATAAAAATATCTATAAAACTATCCTTGAAAACGTATACATCTGCAAAGGGCCTCCATTTGTCATTAGGCCGTACTTAACAATCTGAGACTCCATTGTGAAACACAAATTGATGTCTTATGTTTAGAAAATGCCAAGAAATAAGAGAATGAATTAGCGGTGAGCTCTACCTAAGTCAGAAAAATAATCTATACTCCTTTTAAAAGATTTTAGTGGTGGTGATGAATGGTGAATCTGTCACCACCCACCAATTGACATGTGCGACTATGAAGTTGGTACATAGGGTCACTAAACAGTAACACGTGCAAACTGTCCATTCCCAAAGTGATTGAGGGAATGGAAAAGGAATGCAAAGCATGAGTATTTAGCTAGTTTTTTCCCTTGATGTAGTCATTTATTTTTTTATTAAGCGAAAAAAATAGAATCTTTATTGTCTGAAACATATGTTCATATCGGTGTCATGAGTCATAGTTCTCTAAGGTGGTCATGATTACCATCAAACACTTATCAAAGCTAAAAAAAACTATTCTAACAAAAAAAATTTAAAAGTAAGAGTGATCTTTTTTTTAAAAAAAGAGAGCGAAATGATTTTAAATACATTAGAGTAAGGAAAATCAGGGGCCCGGTTCGGCTGACCACTTGCACACCCTCATGGAGGACCATGTTTGAACTTGAAGCATGTCCAGATTCGTTGTACTATTAAGTGTCCTATCTGGTACTATGTTGCTATATTATGGGAAGGATAGAGTAGTAGTTTTGGATTTTAAATTTTACAAAATAAAATAAAATTCTGAATTGATAGTCTACACTAATAGAAAAAATATTTTCGCAGACGTGA